CATCGCCCCTTAAAGGCACACTTGTAGAATCATAGTGGGCTGCGCCTCAACAGTTGCTGACATGGTCAAATCGGCCAAAACGAACGATACTCAAGACAAAGCAACTTCATGAATCAAGTAAACTAATGGCCAATCAAACGCTTGCCTAGGTTTCAACATCTGCCAGGGGCTACATGATCTCGTTACAATGTCACCTGGCTTGGTCCCCGCGAGAAAAGGCTCTTAGAAGCTTCCTAGAATGATTCTGATGGGAGAGTTGTCATGAGCTTTCGGGTGGTGTAGGGGGCCTTCTTCCCTCCAAGGGAGGGAGCCTCCGCGTAGAGGGACACACCCAGCTTGTCCACCACAGCTCGCAGCTTCCAAAAGAGCTGCAGCACCTTAGGCCAAAAGACTTAAGACAGGGATCGCAATGAGAATATGACACAGGGCTTTCAGCAATTCCCCTTTGAAACAAATAGAACAATAGACCAAACAACACTTGCGCAAATGGATTAGAACATGACACGGGGCTTTCAGACCATTCGCATCCCAAACGCGAAAACGACAAGAAACAGTCATTTGAATGAATGTCAGGTCAAGGCGACAATGAACGCATCTCCGGACTTTCATGGACTTAAGGGGCTTGGGGAGGGAGCCATCACCTAACCTCCCCGGCAAATTAACATGGAACCCAATCAAGCACTTCGCCAAACGAGGATCCCTCCACGAACGAACGCTTTTTGGGCTTCATGTTACTTAGGGGAGTATCAGGGGCCTATCCTCGCTTGGGGAAGCTGTGGGCTTGCTGTAAGAACCTCGCCCCCACGGTAGTTGTTTGCAGCTTGTGCTTCTTGTTTTGGGAGATCAATGTGTTGTGTGGGTGTGTGTTTCTGAGGAACCCCCTGTTGGGATTCCCGTTTGGAGACAATTCTGCATGGAAAGCAGCCCTGCGCAACTGCTCGAAGGGACACCTCCTTCTGTTTGACTTTGAGTCGCAGTCAGACTTTGTCAGGCAACTTCCGCAGGAAACAGCCAACCTCCGGAGGAAGGGCACTGGTCAAACGTCAATGAAGTTAAAAGTGGCACAGGCCAACCCCCCTGGGGGCGGGGGGTGCCGGCGTCACCCAAGGACAACTGGAACTATAAATGCAGGACATCCGCTCCCCCAATTCCATTCTTGCGAGGATGAGGACACATGTAACCAATGCTGCCTGCCATGGGCAGGCAGTGTACGACCAACCATCCAAGTTCACAAACCAAATGAACAAAAAAAAGCTGGCTCCAAATCCGAGGAGCAAATTGATCAAATTCTGTCAGGACCCCCGCCGGCCATGGAAGCTTTCTGAAGCAGTCGCCAAATGTGCCCTTGAAGGCTTGGCTGTCCCACCCGCGTGCGAGACTTGTTTTGCCCCTTCAGCATTCCTTCCCTGCGGGCCCATGAAACTTCAGGCCCGCAAAAAACTCGGCGTCCGTGCCGTGGAGTGCAGTGAATCAGAAACACAAACTGGGGGCGCGTGAAGGCAAATTGGGGGGACATGGGCCGAAGATGTACCTGTTTTTGAAGGCTACTTGACTCCACAAGCACCGTGCGAAAAACATGGTGAGAAAACTTGCCCAAGCAAACTAGGCCGGGCCTGTGGATATATTGGACCAAAAGCTGCCTGCATCCTGCGGTCCTTCTGCAAGACTTATACCCGTACCGTGTCAAACATGCCGTCATACGTCGCATCTCACTTGCCCTTCTCCAAGTACTTCTCCTGAGATGCAAGAAGCCACCGGCCAAATGATGTGGAACATGTTGCGGAGACACTGTGAGCCATAAATTGAACATTTGCAGGGGTGATTCAAATTAGTGTCGCGGGGGGTGTCTTCAACCACCATTCAGAGTTACAGTTGGAGGGTGCAGCAGTTAAACTGCCGCTTGACTTAGACGACTATGCCAAACATTCTCATCAATGACTGCGCCCCATGTAAAACCTGATGAGGACCACGCACCCGTCCACCCGCCCACCCACTAAAGGGATGTAGGGATGCGGAGCAAGCAACCTACTAACTTAGGGTTCATTCCATTTTGCGAGGGAACCCACTAAAGAGAAAGAAAACAAGTGTGAGATGGAACAACTGGCACCTGGTACAACTCATCATTTGGAGGGGAAATGTGTGAAACACACTGACCGACTCATAGCAAAACCCTCTAGCTTCAGGAAAAAGAGATAAACCCACAGCAAACCCACAGCACTCGGATGCATTCACGAAGAACTATCAACGCAGCTCTGCAAATGGAAGAAAACAACGCGATAAAGGGACAAATGTCAAATTACAAATACATACTCTTTGGGGTGCTACAATAATTACTAAGTTGTTCTAACCCTTTCCTATATTTCAAATCCTGCCATAGAAGCAGCTGCTTTTTACATTTCGTTTTACATGTTTTCATATATGTATATATATACACATATATATATATATATGTATACATATGTATCACTACACACCTATGCTGCCCCTACCCCCACCCCCCAGGGAACCGTACCATTAAATATATATATATATATATACAGTATGATGGTACAAATCCTCGTAAGAACTGGGCCCGTTTCTCGCATCAGCCAGGGGGCCACCTGCTGGCACAGCTCGAAGAATCGGGGCCTTCGCTTGTTGGGGAACGGGAACTTCGGACCTAGGGACGCGGAAGCTTCCGATTCCACGGCGAAGACCAAAGCGGTAAAAGGGGCGATCGATGCGGTACGTCAGGCAAGTGGTTCGTATGGTTGTAACCCACTTAGGTTGCTTATAACACGATTGTTTCTTCGTTTTATGTTTGGAGTTTATAACACTGGTTATCACTTACGCACTTACCAAGTACAATGCCTCTTTCAATAGCTGGCCGATGAAAGCCGGAAAGCGCTTGGGGGATCAACATCTTTTCGGGAGGTTCCGAGTGAATGTGACTTTCCGGTGAACATGGGAAAGGCTGGGAAAAGCCGCGACCAAAGGAAGCTGGGTGGGTGGGGGTGGTACCTCGTCCAGTCATTTCAGCAGCAACCGGGTTGGAAACAACAGATCTAATGGTGACAGGAAACTCCAAGACATATTGGAGGTTCGATCCTTCACGCACATTCGCTCGTGAGTCTAAGACATTCCGACTTTTGCCAAAGCTGCACTGTCAGATCCCCTGCAACAAATGGATTTATATGGGTTAAATGGAACCCCCCGCCCCTGAAACCTGGAACCCTGCGCCCCCAAAATGCACCTGACTTCGCCCAAATTTCGTGTCTAAAATGGGGAGAGCGAGGACAACGAAACACCCACTTCACCCAGCATCTTGCCAACCTCCCAAGGCTCAAGGCCAGGCTCAAGGGGACACAAACGGCTCGTGCCATGCTCACAACTACGGGATGGCCATCACTCCCGATCCAAGCGCATCGCACCGAGCCCGACGAAAATACACACTTACTCGCCAGACCAACATGCAACCTCGAAAGCCATTGGAGGAACCTCCTGTTTGAGGCAGGTTTTGTGCAGGGACAATTCAAACGCATGGGGCCCTTTTAGAACAGCGATGCTTTGCGGATTGAGCAAAGCACTCATGCGACATGTGAAACAGACCGTGCTCTACCATTGGACCGCACCAAGATGCCATAGGACGTGAAATGCGAAGCCAGGGTGTTGATGGCCGAGTACAGGGAATAGTAGCTCTGCCTGGCTCGAAGAAAGTCCCAAACTGTCGCACAGCTTGAACAATACCCTGCCAAAAAGGCGCCATCCACTTGCAGTTGAAGCCGATTGAACAAACATGTGGCCGGCGGCCGGTAGACTAGTAGATGCTTGTGCTGGGGGTCTCAAGGCAACCATCAAACATAGACAGTGCATCACAGGCTCAGGCAAGGTATGCTTTCAGTTTCAGCAGCGGATGGAGCACGAGGTGGTTAAGGACCGAAAGAGGAAGTCTCCGGAATTGGCTGTGGGGGAGAGTCAAAGCAAATGTTTATGTACTTTCCACAGGCAAAAACGCTGGCATCATGGATCGCCGTTGCTGTGATTGCCGGTGGTTTCTTTTCTGGGTACGCGCGGGCCATCCTTTGCCACACAAACAGCCTCCAGGCAATAAATACCCCAAAAACGATTGTGTGCTTGCATCTATGTGAATGGGACTTCTCCTCTAAGCAGCAAGTTTTCTACAAAGCCATGAAACAAGATTCGCCAGCTACGAAGGCAACTACACCGAGAACATGCAGGCCTGCCGACAGAAAGGTTCTGACGACGATAGATGGCGAGCCAGTCGTTCATCTCCTTCTTGACGCGCGTGTTCCATTTCTCCTGAGGGCAATGCCTCCGAGGTGCTCAATGGGCTCCTTCGGAGAGGAACCCAGCTGCTATGGCAAACCAAAAAGTAGTAAGGTTCTCCCATTTGGGAGGGAATGCAAGGTGGCCCTACTCGAGCGGGTCATAGCTGAACGTTGGGCCTTTTTGGACCCTTCCAACCAACAAACGGTGGGCCAACATCACAGGAGGCCAAGCTTCTGATGAATCGCCTCGCCGTTTTCGGACCGATGCTTCGCGCCCGCCCGCCCCCCGCCCGCCCCCAATGATTCACCAGGCAAGCGGCCATGTTGGGCGTGCCCTTGTCCAAGGAGGCCGAGATCTTCATGTGCTTCATCACCTGCTAAGCTCACCGGCAAAGCTGCGGCCTTCTCAATTCCAGTGGGTGCCAGTTTCCGCTGCAATAGAGGAAACTTTAGGGAATGGGTGAAAAGTGTCATTCCCTCATTGCCTGCTGAGAACCAGCAAGAGTTTTAAAGGGTGGTTCCCATCATGGAGCCTGACAGGGGTCCCTTTAAAAGGAAAGTTGTCCAGGACCCGCCTGTCAGGTTCCACGTTAATTGGTACGGGGGGCAAGTGAAATCTCTGGGCACAAATGCAGATGTAACAAATGCCTGAATCCAAAGCTGTTGGATGGGCAGAACATCCATTGGTACATCTGAATCAAAGGTTCCCTGAATCAAAGCTTCCCTGATCTTTTCGGGGTTGCTGAGAAGGAGAACATCTCATAGGGGAAGTCATTCAGGTTCCACCTTCGAATCACAGGGAGCCACATCGCATTCCACTCACTAACCTGCTAGCAGGAACAAAGCTGCACCAAAACCAACTAAAATCCACCACCTCATAAGACAAACGAGCACAAGTTGCGCGTGAATTAGAAACAAATGGCCCCCTGTGAAAAGCTAGCTTGTGACGTTGCCAACCCGCAGGTTAATTAAAGGGTGTTTCGGAATCCACCCCTGAAGAATTCCCCAAAAAGAACTTCGTGAGGCTGTGGTCCACACTGCAATCCTAGGCCTTTGCCTTGGGCTTGAGTCGGCTCGCGCCTGGTAGGTGTCCTGGCGATACTTCTGCTTCATGTAGAAGGTCCGGTAGTCCTGGCAAGCTGCGGATGCCGGAAACATGAAACGTAGAAAAGTATAAATTACATGTAGAAATATATATATATATATATCAAGTCAATATACGTTGATATGTGTATCTATCTATATACTGCATATACATGTACATATACACACTGTGGACGGACAAGCACCACCTAAAAATCCCTGGATTCATGATTTTGTCTTTCCCTCATGCTATCCCGCATGTCCCAACTTAGGAGCTCTTGTCCGAAAAATATCGGACAAAGTCTGCACGAACCGGCTAGCAATGCCGGCACTCGCCTGCCCCACATCTATATGTAACTATACAATGTATATATATATATGTACTACAATGCATTCGCCTATGCATATTGATTAACATGAATCTATATCTACGGCGTCAAGGGGGTCTGATCCGATTAAACCAAATCTTTATACTACGCCTAGGGCCTGCGAGGGTGGCCCGGCCAGCCGCTGTATGTATCCGATGTAAACGGATGGCTTATATTCCACCAGCTCCCGCTTTCCGTCGCAGTGCGTTTTCTCCGCATGGCAGGCTGTGTTCGCAGTGCGCAAAGCATCCACCATCAAACTCGTAACCCCACTACGTTGGACGTCATGTCTGTGTGCAAGGGCTTTTGCCGGGGTCCACTGAAAACTCTGTTGAGGGTTCTTTTGGTACAGGGAGGACGGCTTTGTCTGGCATTGGGTGATGCTACGCACGGCGTGCCAGTGCAAGGTCTGTCAACATATGAACTTACTTTTGAACCAAGGCACGAGTCATATGTCATGCGTACTGCTCGCTTTGTTGCCGAGACCCTACAAACTAAATTGCAGAAATGGTTTTTGAAAAGGCCCTTGCAAGAGCATCCTTGCGCAAGTTATGTTATGTTGATTGAAAACCCCTCAAAGCCCCGCCAAAAGGGGGCCTTAGATGCAAGCGGCTCTAAATCGCCCTCAAGACAGCTCAAAAATCAGAAGTCTGCCCGATCCTCCTTCTTATCGTCAATATTGTCCATGCCGATGAGCCTGGGTGCCCGAGATTAGTTGCCCAGACTTCTGACCGAAGGCTGGTCCAGGAATGGTCTAGATGCCACTGTCCATGCCTGAAGTGAGCTTAGGAAGCGGCGCCTTCTTTCTGTTCTTTCGGTCTTTCTTCGCTCCCCTTTTGATTGTCCATGGTGCTTGATGCCTGCTCGACACTATTACTTTAATGATGGCTTCTTTGTTGTGTGGTCTGTGTGGGCACTGCCGAGCCCCTTGCAAGTGCGCCAAAGCTGCTCGGCGAAAGATGTCAAGCCCTTTCAGCAAGGCTTTCCAATTCCAGCTGCCAGCCATTTACCTCAAGAAAAACAAAATGGGCACACCTGAAACTTAAGCTTGGCTCTATGGTCAATAGGTTCTGCAAAAAGGCCATGCTCGATCCCGTGCCATCCTTTTGAGGAACACAAGCTGCCTGGTTTTTGGGGCACGCAGTTGAACAGCTTGATCCGAAGCAATTCCAGCGCCAAGCGGCTCATACGGGTCTGCGTTGATACGATCTGGCACATCCACCTGAGTGCAAGGGCATGCTCTGATGACCTGCTACTGCAGAACCGCAGAAGCAAACATCAGGACACCCAGTCCGAGTTCGACCGTGTGGATGAGTTTTAAAGCACTTGAGAAAAGGGCTGTTAGCATCAGCAAACCATGAGAAAGGTGGCTAACATTGCTTGGCGGCTCTTATCGTGGGATCGCGCAAACGCGGGCGTTTCCTGGGCAGTTTCGGGCAGTTTTTCTGGTTGGCGCACAACTCTCAGCCCATTCGGTTTTTGGACTGCTTTGTTTGTGCCTGAGACTGCCTGAAATCCAAGCCGTCAAGGGCTTTCTGAAATTGGCAGTGGCTTTCAGGATAGGACATGTTGCCTCCGGCTGGCACTTGGGATGACATGGTACTGCTGGCGGGTCTAGTGGATGCAACGCTACTTCCCGGCTTTGACCCGGCAACACGTGAAAATCCGAGCTGGAACTCCTAGGCTTCACTCGGCGCCACATCCTTCACATCCTTGTGGTCTCAGGGGTGGGCACTCCATGATTTGTTTAAGCGTTCTCCAAACAGACCAGCTTGCCGAACATGAAAGTGTTTGGCATATCCGGATATGGAAGTTCAACCTTCAGCCAGGACATGCCATGACCATAACCTGAAAACCAACAAGTTCCGATTCGCTTTGGGCAACTGAGGGCGCCCAATGTTCAATAGCATCACCCTGTTGGTGACAAATCAGGAACCGCGTTCAGCAAACAGCGGAAGGAACAGGGCCACGTATAAAAAGGACTGTGATTCAGGAATCCAGCATGTGCTCAAGCTGGGCCGGCTGTAACAATAGCGTCCATGTTCAAAAACGGTTCAAGACAGGTCATGTTGCCAGTGCTTTCGGTTCTCTTGTCAAGCGGACATGGCCGTACAAGTCCGTGAAGCCTGGCCCGTCAAAAGTTCACGTCCCATTCAAACCTGCTGCAATGAGTTTGTCGGGACAATGGCCATGCTCAGACTGATGCAAACAGTTCAAGGCTCCAAAGTAAAGTAAAAGAGTGAGCAAGCAACCCAGCTCCTCTCGAACCTTTTTAGAATCTAGAATTTGTCATGGTTCCCTCATCAATGGCCTGGTTCACAGCAGCTTCGAAGCACTGGCACCAGGTGTTCAACATTGACTCAAGGCCAACCTGGGCTCCTCACAGTCGGCAAGCTGGGAGCCACGTTGGCCGCTTGTGCGTGGGCAGCCTCGCCTGCCGCAAACCGGCACGAGAACTCTTCACTAAACCCACAGGGGGCAAACTGGCTACCAAGCTGATTGCATGACAACTATGCGCATGTACTTCCCATTTCCCGCAAGTGTATGTACAATGGAAAAGTAGAAGCCAGCCCAGACGTTGTGTGCCCCAGGGAGTCCCGCTTCCGCGCACAAGCGCCAACACAATTGTGATGTTCTGCACATTGACATGCACAAGCTGGCACGCACAAGAAGCTGTCTGTGCAACTTGAGTTTGCAAGTGTTGTTGCGCGCGTCCTTCGCGCTCGCTTTCTTGAACATCCACGCCAATCCCCCCCAGAGTGCCGCGTGCGAACCGCAAAAGATACTGTAGAAACGGCACCGGGTGCTTGCACATCAACCACGCCAATGCCCACAAAGGGTCACGAGCTCTTTGTGCAAAATGCTGCTCTTGAAACGCGTGGGCTCTCGTGCATCTTGGCCTGCATTTGCGCTCGGCGTGCTCTCTTGTGTCCGTTGCTCCGTATCGGCTCTTGCACATCTTGCTCTGCGTGTGCCCTCGGCATGCGCTGGTGTCTCTTGCTACCAGTGGGCTCTCATGCATCTTGGCCTGCATTTGCGCTTGGCATGTCCTCGTGTGTCTGTTGATCCTCATGGGCTCTTGCGCATCTTTCTGAATCTTGCTCTGCATGTACGATCGGCGTGCGCTCTCGTGCCTCTTGCTATGCGTAGGCTCTCGTGGATGTGCGCGCGACGAGTGCTCTCATCTCTCTTGCTATGCATAGGCTCTCGTGCATCCTGCCGTGCAGCTGTGCATGTACCGTAGTGCATCTTGCTCCGCAGTGCTCTCGTGCATATCGTTCGTGCGTCTTGCTGCATGATAAGGCTTACGATGTTACCGCAACAACCCTTCACCATGACCAAACCAACAGCCTCATAACAAGCGATGGTGCTTGGATGACTGCACGACCAACACTTGCGCTCGCTCAGCTGGAACGGCCGTGCTTCCCTAGGTTGTCATCGGCCTCTCGGAATGCTGCGGCCCTGGGTGTTCTAAGAACCTAATTTCGCAGCCGTCGGAATGATAGAACACAGCTTGAGACCCAGGCAATCGACACAACTGCCAGTCACTGATCTTTTTCTACGCATTGTAAGTGGGGAGGGGGCCAGGTCCCGGCAAGGCGCCTCCCGCCAACGCCGCGAGGGTCGCGAGCAGCGGGGCAGCAGCCGCCCGCCGCGACAGCTCCTAGAGCCAGGTTTCTACTTTGGACTTTGGCTGCCCTGAAGGCGGAAGGGTTATTATTTTTCCTAGGTTCGGCGCGGCCTTTGTTTTTCTAGGTTCAGCGCGGTGGTCCAGACCGGCCGAGCCAAAACCCCAGCGCCACGCAGCAAAACGATCGCGCCAAACCTAGGCGAAAAAAACTCGGGGCCTTGCTCTGGAGCACCAACACAAACTGACACAGAGAGTACCTCAAAACGACGACTTAGTATCGCCCGGATCGGTCCAAAAGCATCACTTGCATTGCGACGCTTCGGGAGGCCCAGGATCCATTTTGGGATCTGCTGTCCTCAGCAGCTTGAGCTGGCACTGCCTTCTGAGGGGCCTGGGCGGTTCAAAATCCGTCTGCTTGACTACAACATGTGTCCTTTAGGCGTCCCTGCGCCGTTGATCCCCGTTTTTGTCTCTCTCTCTCTCTCTCCCTCTCTCTCTCCCTACCTGTTGATCCCCTTTGCTTTGAAGAAACCAAGGGCCTCAACGGGCGAACATGCCACCCCCAACCCCGCCCAAGCCCAAAGGCCCCGCGCCAGGAACACGGGCGACAGCCCGAGCAAGGCCAGCAACAGCGCCCGTGCGGGGCGGCCTGGCAGCCGAATGCGTGTCCAGCTCTTTGGTTGAACAAATGTCATCTGGGGTGAATTTTGATACCTTCAAAGGTTTCCTTTTGTTTCCCTTTTTCAACCAAAAGGGGTTTGGACCACCATGTGGGTCTGATTTTTCATGGGAGATGTTTGTTTGTTTTGCTTGCGCTCCCTCCAGCCTTGCCAAGGGACGGTCGACGGGGACCCTTTGGTGGACGTCAGAATTCGTGGTCATGTCCACCAGCCACTTTTGAGGGGGGCTTCTAGTAAAAGAAATGGCTATTTCATTACTAGGAACAGGGGGTGGGTTGGTTTGTTGGTTGGGTTGGCTGTGGGTTGACTTGAGCTAGGTTGGGTTGCTTTCTCGAAACAAGGGGTCTTGGACTATCTGAACAATGGAGGGTGCTGTCAGTTCCCGGGCTTGTTTTTGACCTGCGTTTTTGACCTGCGACATGTGCTTGAATTGTCGGTGACGGCCATTCTTCCCATCAGTTAAGTGCCTCAAGACTTAACTAAGCCGCAGCGGTTCAGCCTCCACTTTTTGGTGGATGGGATGGAACACAAAGCAAACACATACCGCTCCGTGCTCGCAGCCGCCCTTAAACAGTTGTGTGCACCTATACGTGAATGTCATGTATGGGCACAGGCATTGACTACATGAACAGGGAGGTTATTGGGCACACAACAAAAGCCTGTGTTTGCTGACGACTTTGACTGGAATGCCCAATCGCCAATGGCAATGGACAAAACCAAGTTGTTGACGGTAGATGTTGACTAGGAATCCCCCAATTGGAAGACGAGGGACACGTTCCCTTGAACCATGCCTTGCACAAATCAGGCTTGCAATTGGAATCCAAAAGCCACAGCACCGGCCCATGCTTCGGAGAGGTGTACCTTTTGAACACTCCATTATCTACCTTGTGTTGAGGCTCACACTTGACAAATAAGATTGATGCGATCGGGGACACGGATATGGACGCTCTGTAGCAGTTGCCTTCAGAAAATCAGAAGGGTTGTGACAGCACTGAGTCAACGAGTCAACAAGGTTGCGTGCGCTCTGCGAACACCTGCTTGGACTAGGCGAGACAAACTTCAATGCGAGCGAGCTCAAGCCAGTTGTGCTTGCCTCGAGTTGGACGAGTCATTCTCCCCCCCCCCCCCCCCCGCGGGCTCTTGACCGCACTTAACTGCCCCCCTTCCCAGCAGGGACGACATTCGCTGCCTGAAGACGCCATGGCAGTTTTGTTTATGGGGCTTGAGCCACAAGCCGAATCCGCGGTAATCTCTCTCAAGCGAAGCCATCAAAGCCCACTTGAAGGCATACACCACCAATACACAGGTCATGGCGATGCAACATCCGAGGCAGAACCCGAAAACCTTTGCCTGCTTGGCCGAAATGCCCTCAAACCATGCCGTGGAAATAGGGCCGTTCAATGGCCTTGCTTCAAATACACAGGCCTGGTATGAAGGGAATGGCCTAAACGGGTCGCTCACCCGGAAAGATAGTACCCCTCTTGGTTGAGCTTCAAGCGCTGCACTGTTCGGGAGCTTTTCTTGTTGGTCTGACCCAGCCGAGTACCGTACTTCCCTCCAATAAACATCTATAAACCTCCTACCAGCACCCGCCAACCACCGCTTTGTGGACAGTTGGGAGTTTGGACATGGGAACAAGCAGTTGTTGGACAATTGGGGGGGGGTCTGGTATACACACCCCGTGTTTTTCTCACAGCTGGCTGACTCAGACCAAATCCACAGCTCAGCCGCGTGAGAGCTTGAGGGCCGTGCCACCCGCTGCGGCTCCGCCTTAGGGGACCCATTTTGGTGAGTTAATTTCCAGGGAAACCAACGGGAAACCAACGGGAAGCCATTTGCGTTTGTCTGTTTTAGGGGACCCCCCCCCAAAAAAAAAAGAAGAAGGTGGCTTTCCTCTTGGTTGTGCTCTGAAGCCGCCAAACACAGGGTGCGGCCAAAGAACGGACACACTCATCTGGGACAAGGGATGCAACAACAAGCAAGTGCCTCTGAAACTAAGTGGGTTGGGAATAGTTGCTCAAGGCCCAGAACCAAATGTTGAGAATTCGGGGATCTTATGGCTTGGTGCGTGTTTTTGGCTTAAGATGCCAAACTAAACGAGTGGGTCATGTTCAAGTGCTGTGGCACAGGAGTGCTGCCGAATGCCCCGCGCTAACGCCATGGCAAGCCGAGACTTGAACCTGAGTTCAATAAAAAAACATCCTAATCACCCTGGCAACCTTAAGAACAAGACAGCAGGCTCTCAGCCCCAGCTTCAAAGCACCAACAGTAAAAAACCGCGCTGCGATCCCATTTCATCCGAAGCGTAGCAATCAAAAAGCTCGGAGGCCTTTCCAATATAGTGCCCACTTTGGGCAAATCCGTCCTCACAGGGGCATTGTACATAGCAAGTGGTTGGTAGGCCTTGTTATAACCCACTTGTCATGGTTATATGTCTCCTAAGTGGGTTATAACCAGGCTGACCAACCACTTACTAAGTACCCGATCTCCCCTCTAAGTAGCCTACGTGTACGCACAAAACTCCCAACCTGTTTCGGTGCCGGGGCACCACAGCTTCGGCATCCCCACGCAGGTCCAGCCAAAGAGAGTACCTGGAAACGGCGGAAAAGACTGCCCACTCTGACGCTTTCATTTGTGGATCCCCTTTGTATCACGTACCAAGTGTCAACCTGAAATCAATATCTGAACAGTCCCTGCCCGCCCAAAGATGCTTGGCACAGGACATGCCGTTGCTCTGTCACCAGGCTCATTGCTCGCGGCTGCGCAGTTCTGCTAGGACCAACGCACGCCCAACAAGTCTAGAGTCAAAACTGTGGCTCACACTGCTCACCGGGGTCGAAGATTCACATCCCTCCTTTGACTATGATGTACTATGCACAAACTTGGAATATGGCAATGGTTTCTCCACCTATCGCGGTCGGAGTCCCTTTGACAAAGGGCCTTCTCCTGACTCCTGACCCCAGTCAGGTTGAATCCAGGGTGAACGGGAACGTAGGGAACATAACAGTTTCTTGGGGTTCCTAAGGTTCCTAAGGTTCCCAAGGTTTCAAAAGTGTCTCCCCCACCTGGACCCGCCCTGAGCAACCGCACAAAAGAATGATGGATGGCTCAATACACTCGCGAGTTCACAACAGGGAGGTGCACTTGAAGCAATCACTTGGGGATCACTTGGCCGTAAGGTTCAGGCGGAGAAAAGTCACAAACACCACCACCAGGCGAAAAAATAAAAGGAACTTTTGGAAGTGTCGATTGTTTGAGAGTCCCTTCACTTCCCCCCCCCCCCGCTTGGATCCCCGCGTCTGCCCCGAGGACTGGCTATGATGCCCCTGGCCTGCCAAATGTCCCATCCCCGCTTTCGGTGGGTCCATGGCACCAAAAATACCATGCATTGGGTAGTTCACACCCGGACCGCTTTCTTAAGCATGTGCCTCTAACTCTGCTCTTCTAAGCAGTTTTCTAACATTTGGAAACCAATCATTTTGGCTTATGACTTGGAGAAAGCGAGCAGTAACTGTCATTCAAAGGCTGTCTGAACGCCGCTTGTCAGGAAGCGCACTTTTGGGCTCTGGCCGCACCTCTTGTCACGGGCATGCTTGCTTTGGGTTTCGTGAGGCATCTGGTGATGCCACCCCCTTCTAATTCAAATTCAAACACACACCCAAATGGCTCACGTCATGACACCTCATGGCACAAGCCGGCGGCTCTTAACATTGAAAGGGAGCCCGCCAAAGGAAAAAAAACAAATGGCACAAGCTGGGTCCCGGTGGTGTGGTGCATCCATGTTAAGTCGGACCACCCCTGCTTGCAAAGGATTGCGGGTCATAACTGAGAATGTTGACCCCGGAGGAGCAAACCACTGTGTATGACTGTGGGGGCGTTCCCGGTTCCCCTCCAAAAATGATGAACCTTCAGTTTCGTCATGCTTCGGCCTACATTCCCGTACAGCCTGGGACTGCGCACGCAAACATGTACAACAACTCCAACCCGCACTGAGGCTGAGCAAGCGTTGGCACTCTTTGTGACCCAAAGAGACAAGAAACAAAAGAAGCGAAGGGCTACAGAACCAACACCCCCAACAAATCAAAAATCCTACATCCACACAACCACGTGACACTCACACATAAACTGCCAAGCAACATGGCACGAGCCTGTGGCCATGTTGGACATAAAGGTGGCGAGGCCGGACATGCCGCTGTTGGATAGGTCCGGAGCCTCAGGTGCGCGCTGCTGCCACTGGGCTGCTAAGGCTTTGCTGGGGCTTGTTGACCCTAAGCCTTGGAGGCCTTTGGGCAAGGGGCTGTGTGTGGGGTCCAGGTTGGCAAAAGCAAGGCAGCAGTTGGTTGGAGCGCATAAAAATGCCACAGCTGCGGGATGGCGTGAACACCAAGTCGAAGGATCAAGTCAAGGGATTCAGCTGAAGCGACAGCATAAACTGCACCGTGCAGCCATTGGTTGAAGTTTTGCAATTGGATAGGACGCCAAGGAAGTAACAAACAAGCACGTCACATGGTCTAGTATGTATGCAAGATTCAACTGCACTTGTGCACTGGGGTCAAAGCCTCCGACATGCTTCCTGACAACTCAACTTGTGGTTCTGCCTGGTTTTCGCAAACATCAAGGCGTTCTGAAGCCACAACTGGCCTATGCTACTGTTTGTCACCAACTGGTACTCAAAAGCCCTTGGCCGCGGAGAAAACGTTTGGGCACTTTTGCTTATTTGAATCTAACGGGAACTTCCCCCCCTTCCCGAAAAAGGGGGCATTCGGCAATGGGGATTGACTTGCTGCATGCGAAACTCAGCTGCAGCAGCATCTGCCTGAGACCCCGGCTGACATCTCGGCTTCCATGATGGTATCGTAGGCCTCCTTCATGTGCACCTGGGCACTTCCCGGCGAGTTGGAGATCCAGCAAAAGCCAAACCTGAATGAAGCCCAATTATGTTGTTGGTCCATTCGGACCTGGACCAATCACACTTTGCTCCCCTGGCAAATTGAAACTTCCCTCCAGGCCTCTTGTTGGCGACGTGAAAAGAGAAAATCAAAGACTCACCCACGAAAAGGTCCACAGGGATGTGTCTTTTTTGAGGGTACCCCTCTTTGGTCTGTTTCAAAGGGAAACCAAAAGGACAACCACCATCTTTTTTGTTGTTGGGGGGGTCCCCTCTTTAAAAAAACAACAATGCAACAAACAAACAAAAAACGCGACACGCCCACGAGGACTCTGTACATTTTCATGGGCCTCTGAGGCCTTGGCAAAGCGCATGGCCGTGTCTTCGAGCTCATCCGCCGGTGAAAGGTCCGGATGCAGCTCCCGCGCACGGCGGCCTCTGCAACAAGTGTCCCCTGCGTCGGTGGACCTAAAAACTCTCCTTCTTGGGGAACAGAAATGGCACCTCAACCTGCACCTGGCTGCGGGAAACGAGTAACTACTACAAGAGGGAAAAACCATCACGGTTGCTCCAAAGACCCGATGTGTCGACAGTTTGGCAGAGAGTCTAGAGAGAAACCAAGGCAACGAAACCCGTGTCCCGTGTCTTCTGGTCACCTATGCCATCTTAAGGCCCCCTGTGATATATACTCGAGAAAGCCAGCAATCCGCTTGCATGTGATCTGGGGTAGTTAACGTCCGCCGGAAATTCTGCCCGGGCTGAAGCAGCCAGATCTGCGTGATTCAAAGACCAGCAGGAACCAAGAATCACCCAACAGCCCAAATCGTCTGCGAACCGAGAAGGGATCGTGCCTGTCGTTACAACCGGGCGGGTAAACAGGGGCATGCAACATGTAGATGCCTCAGACATGCCACTTTGAATGTATTTGACGGCACCCTGGTTGCACACCTCTGCCCATGATCCCATGGCAAAACGCTATGAACTGAAAAAAGCTGTTGAAAATTACCCTCCGTCCCCCAGACATGGCAACTGACACAGGGTACCCCCATTAAGAAAACATCATGTTCCACAAATGCCATGCTTGGTAGAATGAGGGTACCCTTTCTCCATACTAAGCATTAGCCGGAGAGCCCCTCAAGGGCCCATTAGCTGAACGGCACACCGCTCGCTACAACTGGGCCAGGGGTACGGAAGGCCTTGCGCACATCTGCGATGCTCGCGTCCACCTAAGAAATCCAAGCGTCCTACTGGCTCTCGGTAGGGAATGAGGGAGAAACCTCTACAAACCATTCTTTGTAGTTGAGGGTGTCTCAAAATAGGGGACCAACAAAAATGTTGGTTTTCCTCTTAGCTTTCCTTTAGAGCCAACCTGGACCTAGTTTTCATGCAAGGAAAATACCAAGGTTCATTCCCAAACCCCGCCTAAAGAATCATGAGAACCAGCAGGGCTCAACTCCATTGCAGGCAAGCGGCACGCGTTTTTGCAAAACATGCTATTGGCCATCCAAATCAATTGGCAGTTGCTAGGGACAAAGGCTAACGGGCACCCCAACGCCAAGACATGTTCTTGAAACCTGCTTGGAAGGTGTTCTTGGTAGGCCCTGAGATGAGGTAGTGTCGGTCCTTAATTCTGAGCTTGTGCGGGGGCCATGCCCAAAAAGAGAAGAAGAGGAAGAATCTCCATGTTGCAGAGCAAAGTCTCCATTTTGTGCCCTAGCAAACCCTGCCGCCTCTGGACAAGCGGAAAAAATACTCCGAGCCCTGTTTCGAGAAGCCTCGGCACAACGAAGCGCGCTCACTTTTACCCCGCTCGGCCCAGCGCTGGTTCACCAAAAACGCGCTCGCTCGCCGCTCGCCGCTGGCCGTGTCCCGGCTTCGCAGCCAAGGCGCCGGAAGCCCCAGTGTCTCATAAGCCTCCTGCAAGCCTGGCCAGAACGCCCCGCGCGGCCGAAGAGTCGGTGGCCCCGATTCTGAGGGTATCCAAAGTTGCATTCAACTTTTAACGAGGGAGCTAAGCTACCAGGAGTCCTGCAAGCACGTCGTAGTTCACTTGGCGTTGAGGATAATCTGGCTAGCAGAAGCTGGCAGTCTATCTGAACGTTCTGTGCAACTCAGCTGTGGCCCTGCCTGTTGACCCCTAATGATGAACCCGCTAGTCAAACACAGTGCGACATCCACCTTAAACACAAATCCCCTCAGGGATTAGCATTAGCGTATTTCAACAAGTGATTGAAGTCATGGACCCGCTCAAGTAGACAAGTAGCGACATGTTGCCCCCTTTTCCGGGCAGACAGCGCTGAGAAAGGCAAACAGGAGAGAAAGGCCTCACGAATCAATGCCATGCCAAACCACTTGTGAATGAACACATAGAAAGAATACAAAGAATCTGATTAGAAACGGGGTCTTCAACAATCTGCAGTCGCTTCTCTGCCCGGCGAGGCGGCTATCACTTGCTAAGGCATTGCCCCCGAAGCACGTTTTTTCTTTCGGCGGAGCGCCTGGCGCCTTTCGTGGCATGATCTTTGCTGCCTGGGCGACATGAGCTCTGTGAGACGTCACTGGCCCGCCTTTGGCGCCTTCGGCGCAGGGGCCAAAAGCCATGGTGCCGGTCAAACAAACACCGTTGACGAGCATCGTGCGCTGCTTTGTGGCTCTTTGCTGCTTCCATTTGCTTTCTGGTGTAATGCCCAGCGTTGAAGAACCGGCAAAGAACGACATCTGCACTCAGGGTGACTCAGTTGCCGCAGCTGCGCCTGCAAACGGTGAGGGAAAACTAATGCTCATCAGATTCTGTTTACAGCTTGATTGCTTGCTTGTTTGTTGCTTCGGGAGGTGCCACAAGACGAGAGTTGCCCTTTAAACACGCAAGCTCGGGCGCGGGCCCATCTAAAAACTCTAAAAGGCCTGGCCGGATCCGCACACCATCTATGACGGGCAGGAGGTATCGAAGATGTGGCAGCCTGTACCGGCCTGTAGGGCAAGCTTACTCAAAGGACAGTAGTTACTGAGTGGTTTGTAAGCCTGGTTATAACCCGCTTAGGAGACATATAACCATGGTAAGTGGGTTGTAACAAGGCTTACTAGTGAATCAGAACGTAGCAGAAACAGTTGGAAGCGAATTACTTAAACAATGAAAGAACATAACATCGTGGAACACTTCTCACCAAGCAACGCCACTCCAAACCATCCCAAACTCGCACAACGACTCGTACCTCGAAAATTACCATGAGAGGCCGAAGCTAACCGCTTACTAAGTACAATGCCCCTTTAAGTACCTCACTTGCATGAAAGTAAAAAAAAATAAAAATCAGTTGCTGCAACGCTCAAGCTTCAAGCTGGCACCAGTTCATATAAGAACGACATTCCTGTTTTCAACTGGGATACCTGGGATAATTTAGCAATTGCACACAACATCTTCGGGCAAGACCTTGCTTTTAGAACCCAGGCTTGTACATGTCTTGTTGAACAAACACGGGCTGCGTGCAGTCACTGTTGCCAGCAACAAAGCAACACGCCGTAAATACAGTTCTGTCCAACATCACCTCAAATTGCTGTGTGATTCCGTATGGGCTTGGCGATCGAGCCCCCTGATCCCACATGATTATGGAAAATACACGTTTCGCGGCGTAGAGCAAGCTTCACATTCCGCGGGTGCTGACGCAAAACACGGCAATGTCCTATCCCATCCAGCATTTGTAACTCCGACTGGCTACTGTTTGGCCATCAGACACCTAGCTGATTAGGTGGGAGTGTCAAGCCCGAATGCGAAAGAGCCCTGAAAAACCGGACTTTTTGAAGTAGTCAACCAGGCCTTCATCCGGGCTGTAGTTCTCGTCAACCATGTGCAAGTGGCGTTATGCAGCTTTCTGTTGTCCCAAATGCGCACGCCAGGGATTCCATATTGGGATTTGCGCTATGGGACCAGTTTGGCTTCTACCCAACCTCTTCGCGTCCTGACTGTGCTGACCAAACACTCCAACCTAAACCCGTCTTGAAAGGGTTGTTGGTGACAAAACCTCAATGCCTTGATGGCCTGCTGTGGGGTCTGAAAAGCAATGGCCAGAAGATGAAAGCACGCATCAAGAAAACTGTACATATATACCTAATATGTAAATGTGCATTGGTACATATACGTATATGCATATATTATGTAGCAGCTTGCTCCACGGATCCCGCAGCGTGTTTGTCAAGTAAGCACCGGATAGCACAGATCTCTGTGATGCTATTCAGCGCTTTCAGCGACTAATTATTTAACATCACCCCTCGTCCATTCACCTTTGAAATCCAGGCACAGATACCCTAGGAAAACAATCCGCAAACAAGGTGGGCCAAGCGTAGCCCTTGTGACCCCCAGACCGGGATATCCGTGCTTGAACATCCAAGACATGGAGCCATGGAAAGCCATGGAATGCCACGGAATGCCATGGAATACGTGCAAGTCGGAAAACATGTCCGAATTCTGAAACGTGAACTCAGAAAGTCACAATGAACATCACATAAATGGTCCGTTAGATGTTTTAGCGAGCTCCCCTCACCACCCGCTTTTTTCAGCTAACTCAGCCACCCATCCATCATCTGGCCATTCCCCGCCCCCATCATGGCCTTCAAAGCTGTCTGCCGTGGAAACTCTGATCTGGGCGTGGTGAAAGGGCCCATGATAAGGCTACACCATCACCAAAAACACACCTCTCAGGGACGGGGGGTTGGCATTTCCTAGTATTTTGGTGAGCGTCTCATCATGTCCCAGCCCCATTACTACCGACGGCTACAAAGAGGTCGATCTATGTTTAGACTTTGCAAGGTCAAAGCTTTCGGGTGTGCACCTGAAACCTGACACGTGTTGCCAGGCAACGGCTCTGATCGGAAGTTTGTTGCCGTGAGTGTGCCTTGGGGTTCAAACCTCATCAAAAGAATGGCACGGACCCACTGTAGATTCCTTAGGAAAACAATGGCACCCCCGGTGTTTTAATGGTGGCTTGAATCCCAGGGTGTGGTTTTGGATTGCCCATGAATCCAAAGGAACGGCATTTCGTAAGCCCAAAGATCCGATCATCACGACGCGGATGACTTTTGACTTTTGAATCATCAGTACCCTACTTCAAGCGGCAGGGTGCCTAGCGGGTAATAACCAGGCTTACTTTAAGAAGTACCCTGCCCCTTTAAGCAAGTGCCTTCTGTACTCAAGGGGTCAAAATGGGCCTCCCCCGTTTGTGGACATCATTTAGGTGGGCGAGTCATGTCCAAATCACTTTTGAGGCGGTATACATAGCCAAATTGGAAGCGCATCCTTCTTTGGTTGCTGGCGAGACCCCTCTGCAAAAGTGAAGAATTTGCGGCTCAAATTTGGTAAATCCACAAAGTTTCACCCCAAAAGGCATAAAAGTCCAAAGATCTGTTACCAAAGAGCGATACAGCTCAGAGTCCATCATACCCCTGGGCTGTCCTCAGATCCCCTAAAAGTTTAAGTTGCGGGTTGAATACAGAAGCCCAACCACTACACCAACTAAACCCTTAAACAAACAAACACAAACAACTAAATAACCCAACAACAACTAAAACCAACTAAAACGCTCTAAATAACCAAACGACGACGGCTAAAACCGACCAACACCCTCTAGATTAAACAAAACAACACAATTGAAACCACCTCCCCTTCCGAGCGATCCGACCTCTCGGCCCATCGCTTCGCTTCGCCTGGAGTCCTTGCAGATCCTCCGGGCGCAGCGTGCGGTTGGCGCCGTCGGCGCCGAAGGCGCCGAAGGCCAGGCGCGCAGGGCCCTCCGCCAGGCGCAGGCAGAAGGCCGCCGGCCCGTGGATCGCCTCCGAAGGCAGCGATGGCAGCGGAGGCCATGGAGGCGAGGGAGCCGGGCTGTGGGAAATGCCCACTGTGATACAACCACAAGTTGGCCCGCCAAAGACGAAGCCCCCATATAAAGAGGGGATACAAGGGGAGGGGATCCCCTTGTATCACAGAAGTGGGTATAAACCCCTTGATCCCACAAGCCTGAACGTGAGGGAAGTCGTGAGAGCAACTCACCGGTGAGATGAGCCATACGGAGACTTGGAATTAGGGAACCATGCCATGGCTGACTGTGGCTTGTCTCAGCATGGTTATTACCCACTTTGAGTACAGAGCGGGTTCAACCGGTACGCTACGTGGAAAACAGGGCGGCAGGTCACCAACATACGCTCGAAGCAAAGTGGGGCATAACCAGGCTTACTTGCCACCCTTTTAATCCCTGAGATGGGGTGGCCACAAGGTTTGTCCGACAATGTTGGTTTCCCGGGTTCCATGTTAACCCGAGGTGATCTAGGGTTGTACGCCCGCTAAGTGGTTCATAACCCGGGGTACAATCCACTTCCTACCTGCTATGTCACCCACATAGAGATATGGGTGTATGTGTCAAACTGGGGGGAACCACCCCCACCCACCCAAAAAAAAAACGTATTCCTTTGAGCTTCTCTGAAAAGAGCCGACCTTCAAAGGGCACCCTCAAAAACTCCGCCTATAGCTACGAGAAGCCGCCTGTCCCCTTTCCCCATGCGCTTTGGGAAACGCCCGAGTCTCGCGCGGGTTTCAGGTCGAAGGCGGCGTCCATCTCGGACCTGAAGCCGCTTGGGTCCGCTTTTTCAGATTGAAATAGTGACTGACCCTGTGGGTCAAAAATAGGGTACCCCCAAAATGGGTTACTTTTGTAAGAGGAAACACGGGCGAACAGCTGCGGTCCAATTCCTGGTTTCACAAAATGACCCACCGCCACTTGCGGGTTACATATGGACGCCGACCAGGCCTAAGGAACCGGATGCCTGGGAACCAAGAAACATGGGTCAGATCTGAGAAAGTACCTAGACTGGAATCCATGGCCTTGGGAAAAGGACACCGTTCCAAAGTTCAGGGGAGCGAATTCTAGAGGCTCGGAGGGTTTCACCAAAAAGGGGGGCCCCGATTTAGGGGAGTTGCCACACCAGGACTATCCGCGCAAAGGGAATCCCTCGGGTTTGGTTGATGGCTTTGGGCCTCCCAAGCCACTTTGTCCTTTTGGTTTCCCCTTACACCGTCGAGGAACCCGGCAACTCACTTGCTCAAAGGTTGCAAGGAAGGACCTCCCAGGGATGGATTTTGAAGGTATTAGGAGGTTTGTAGGCAACTTGTACGGTGCGTGCGTACTGCGTTGCAAGGTTCCAGTGGTGGTATATGTATAAAAGCATCCATCATCACCTCCAAAACCACACATGGAAGTGCTCTTGATAATCCTCAATAACCCCCCCAACAAAAAAGAAAGAAAGAAGAAGTAATGCTCTTTCCAGAACTGACCAATTCTAGACCAAATGTACACCAGCAAAATGTCTCACCATGTCTAACCCCAGTCGAACTAGGGGATTCCCTGAAGCCAGTTCTACAGCAAGCTCAAGCCAAGACCCAACAAACCTCCACCGGGTCATTTTTGTTTTTTGCTGTTGCCAGATGTTGCAAATGCCCTAGAAGGGTCAAGCAGCCACAAGAACCCGGAGGCATCCTTGATGGGCAAACTCCAGCCCCCCCTCCCCCGCTCCCCCCCGGCTCATTCATCTGCGTCTACCGTTGGTTTCCTCCGAGCAAGGGCACGCCCATCCAGTTGGCCACACGAAAAGCCGACAGCTGCCAACAGGCCCTACCTCGATCATCATGCCCCTTGCCCTCTAAAACTAGAAAGGAAAAAGACATCTAGCCAAAACAACTTGCAATTCACAAACCGGAAGCAAAGCCAGTAAAGTGAGCTCGGGTGAGCTCTTCATTTGTCGAACACATCGCAAGCAATCGGAAGCGGAGGCATGCCCGCATGCGCAGAACGCGGGCTTCCAGTTCTCGGCCAAGCGGCATCATCTCCACTGCTTCCTCCCAAGTGTTGCCTCACCCATGACTCGCAAAAGATTCACCTTTATCCCTGACCGATTGCACGTTAACCAACAATGGAAACCTACAGGCAAAAGTGTCGGCTTTGGCCCAGTCATTCTGAAAACGGGCGAGGTCCCATGGGTTAAAAGCTGAGAAGTTTGAACAAGTCAGAGGCCTGTGGATGTTCAGGGTCTCAAACAAGCTAGATGATGTCTTTTTGGTTCGGAGATTTTCTTTTGCAAGGGAGTCATGGCCTTGTGAACCTCGTTTGAGGCCTTGTAAAGTGTTTTTCTAGGCTTGAGGTGGGCAAGAGGAAGATGCATCCCATAGAAAGGCACTTGCTTTACTCAAGTCACCACCCCAGGTCCATTCTTTCTTTTTGCCCCTTCTTAGGCTTGAAGTTGCTTCCGTCAGTCTTCCGACGCCCTTGCCAGGTTCCAATCCCCTTCAACTTGTAAGGGAGCTGAAGGAACCATTTCTGGCCCCGACTGTAGATTATTCGCGTTTGGCCGGGTCACCATGTGGCAAAAAAACTGCTTTTGGTTTTCTTTGGGGACGCGCTACAATTAGGGGCTACTTTAGCGATTGGCCATCCAAAAGCAACTCACTGGTGCAGGACGCCCAAACCTATGTTTTGGGGATCAGTTTCGCATTCCTCGAGGAAATCTACATTGAGCAAACTGTTCTTCAAACCAGGGGGTCATCTTTTTTTGGTTGGATTCCTTTTAACGTTTCCCTACCACATTTATCCAAAGCCCGGAACTTGCCCTACCCTTCTACAGGATGTCCCCCCCCCACCAAACAAAAAAAGACTTCGGCAATTCAGGTCGGTTTCCTTCAAAAAGGAACCGATTCCCATTTGGGCGCTTCATCCCATTTTTCTGTAAGTGCCTGTCAAAATGGCTGGTTTGAAAGGTGGGGGGGTCCCCTAAACAGACGCACGCCCAGGGCTTTCAAAAACGCCAAGATGCCCTGCGTCTCTAGTTGCAGCTCCATGTGCGGCCGCAGCCGCGCCATGAACCACCACCTGCCCGGCGTTGGGTAAAAACGCCAGCCTTGGGTGCCGGAAAGAAAAAGTGTTCTGATAGGAGCCAACTACATGTGCCGGAAAGACAAAGTGTTCTGATAGGAGCAAACTACACGTATCAACATGACGTTCCTCTGGATGCACACGAATATACACACAGAAAGCTGTGCTATGTTTATATTGCCATCACCTGCTAAAGGGGCTGAACGATAGGGAGAGGCAGATTCAAGGGAGCTCAATGGAAGGACGCCACCTGCTTCTGCTTGAGGGATTCTCGAGGGTGACCCCCTTTTTTACAGGGAAGTTGAGAGGCAATTTAGAGGGAATGGCCATTGACGTGTCATGCCCAGGCATCAAACCGCAATGCAATCTGCCAACACCGCGTCACCCTACAAGTCAATATTATTTTAATATGCAACTATATGTAAATGCTTGAGGCAGGAAGAGGTTCTCTCTTGCCAAGTTCATGTTGGAAAGCGTCCAGTGGATAAACAGTTTTCGGTCATGCATGACATGTGTTTGATAAGCAACACCTTGTTGCAGGCGCCAATGGTGCTAAGCTGATATAAGCGACCCAAATGACGCCCTTCACAAGCATGTGGCTTTCCAGCTTTGCCAAAGCATGAAGGACAATATCATATATTCCGCTTCTGGTGTCGTTTGAGGAACTTACCCTCCTGTCCACTAAGAGGGAACCTGCCTAAGGGGACCTGGAAGACCATGTCCCGACCCTTTGGTAGGTTCCATCTCAGTGGACAGGGCAACAGTGGGAAACTTGGCAATCCGTGTCTTCAATTGAAAGGGTGAATGGGGCTAAGGGGTGAGAAGAACAAAAAAAAACATCCAGCCAACCAGTCCGGCAAAGAACGGAAAGCGCCTGCCACGGCATGCGATGGCTTTCCCTTGTTTTCCCTTGCTTTCCCTTGCCTTCCTTCGCTTGACCTTGCTTTTTCCCTTGCGTTGCCTTGCTTTCCCTTGCTTTCCCTTTCCGTTGCTTTCCCATTTCCTTGCTTTCCCTTGCTGTCCCTTGCTTTCCTTTGCTTTGCCTTGCTTTGCCCGTGCTTTAGCTTGCTTTGCCTTGCTGTGCCTTGTTTTCGCTTGCTTTCCCTTGCTGTCCCTTGCTTTGCCCGTGCTGTTGCTTGCTTTGCCTTGCTGCCCCTTGCTTTACCTTGTTTTCCCTTGCTTCCCTTGCCTTGCTGTCCCTTGCTTTCCCTTGTTTTCCCTTGTTTTCCCTTGTGTTCCCTTGCTGTCCCTTGCTTTCCTTTGCTTTGCCTTTCTGTGCCCGTGCTTTTGCTTGCTTTGCCTTGCTGTCTTGCTGTCTCTTGCTTTCCCTTGCTTTGCCCGTGCTTGTGCTTGCGTTGCCTTGCTGTCCCTTCCTTTCCCTTGTGTTCCTTTGCTTCGCGTTGCTTTGCCCATGCTTTTGCTTTCTTTGCCCTGCTATCCCTTGCTTTCACTTGTTTTCCCTTTCACTTTCCCTTGCCTTCCTTTGCTTTGCCTTGCTTTGCCCGTGCTTTTGCTTGCTTTGCCTTGCTCTCACTTGTTTTCCCTTGCTTTCCCTTGCCTTCCCTGGCTGTCCCTTGCTTTCGTTTGCTTGTCCCTGCTTTCCTTTCCCTTTCTTTCCCTTGCGTTGCCCGTGCTTTTGCTTGCTTTGCCTTGCTCTCCCTTGTTTTCCCTTGCTTTCCCTTGCTGTCCCTTGCTTTCCTTTGCTTGTCTTTGATTTCCCTTGTTTTCCCTTTCCCTTGCTGTCCCTTGTGTTCCTTTGCTTTGCCTTGCTGTCCCTTGTGTTCCTTTGCTTTGCCTTGCTTTGCCCGTGCTTTTGCTTGCTTTGCCTTGCTCTCCCTTGTGTTCCATTGCTTTTGCTTGCCTTCCCATGCTTCTCTTTGATTGTCCTTGCTTTCCCTTGCTGTCCCTTGCTTTCCCTTGCTGTCCCTTTCTTTCCCTTGGTTTCCCTTGCTTTCCCTTGCTGTCCCTTGCGGTCCTTTGCTTTCCTTTGCTTGTCCTTGCTTTCCTTTGCGTTGCCTTGCTTTCCATTGCTTTCCCTTTCCCTTGCTTTCCCCTCATTTCCCTTGCAGTCCCTTGCTTGCTGTCCCTTGCTTTCCTTTGCCTTGCCTTGCTTTGCCTGTGCTTTCGCTTGCTTTGCCTTGCTGTCCCTTGCTTTCCCTTGTGTGTCCCTTGCTTTCCCTTGCTTTTTTGTTGCTGCCCCTTGCTGTCCCTTGCTTTCCTTTGCTTTGACTTGTTTTGCCCGTGCTGTTGCTTGCTTTCCCTTGCTGTCCATTGCTGTCCCTTGCTTTGCCTTGCTTTCCCTTGCCTGGCTTGCTTTCCCCTACTTTCGCTTCCTTTGCCCTTGCTTTCCCTTGGTTTGCCTTGCTTTGCCTTGCTGTCCCTTGCCAGCTTGACCCAAGTCAGAGCAAACCAACAACTGCACAACCCTCCTGCACTGAATCACATACAAGCAACAACCCAAACCAGCGCCCGTACTTACACACCCCGTGTCGTCTCCCTGGGACCTGCAAACCAGCCTTGCGGTGGCAGAAAGTGCTCCAAAAAATACTCCCAAAAAATTGGAGTATTTTCCTGCGACATCCCCAGCATCGCCGACCACCACAAAAACTTCCAAAACAAGCGACATCCCCTGCATCCCCGGCATCCCCTGCATCCCCGGCACCCCTTGTGCGCCCAAGTCCGGCGAGGCCGGAAGCAAAGTAAAATGATGTAAAACTGGCACGCTTTTTTGCCCGCGAGAGCCACAGACGAAAAGGTCTGACATGATAGGCAGCGTCGACGAAAAAGCGCGAAAAACACAGGGGAAAACACCAAAAACCAGCCTTGCGGTGGCAGAAAGTGCTCCAAAAAATACTCCCATTTTTTAGGAGTATTTTTCGGCTGACCAGACCTGCAAATCACCTGGAACGAGGTTACCCCCTAACTCCCAGCGCTTCAAGAAGCGCTTTCCGTCATCATGACCTCCAACCCCAGAGTCTCATCTCATGGCTTGACCTAGCTACTGCCTGCTCTACGTCTCCTCATCCCCAGCTCTAGAAACCCATTCTGATCAACTGAGCCCACGCTGTACAGAACACACTGACTGCAAATCCCCCCCAAAAGAAACACCTCACTTCCTACTTCCTGAGTGGACTGGCCAAAAACAAAACCAAACACCTGTTGTTTGCCGCTAAACTGGCCTTCCCAACAAGTGACTGACGTCCATGAAGTCAGGAAGTGAGACGCACTTTCAAGCTTCCATCTGCGAGCTGTCCACCTGCCCGGAGGGTCGGCCGGATAGATGTCCAGAAGCTGCAGAAAGCGGTAGATGCTCTTCTCCTCGGCGCGTGTGGCTGTTCTGCCAGCACTCCAATCCTGGGCTGTCCTGAAAAAATCCCTTGCTAAAAGCTTGCCTTCTGGTGGGTTACATTCAGGGTTATGCAGGGAACGCACAAAAACAAGGAACATGTTGTTGAATCCCCCCCCTTGGTGGGGACATCGATCAATGGCATCCAAAAGCTGATGTTAAAAACACCCCGCAAACTTTGGACGTTCAAAACAAGAAATGCCGCAGGTCTGCTCAATCAAACAGAGTGGCTGCCCAAGTCGAAAAACCCAATTCTTTAAGGGGCAGTAAATCAGTTAGGCGGTGAGAGTACTGAACTGAGACTTCTAAATCCATGGGTTATATCACTATGGAATTATTAGCCACAAAAGCCTTGGATTTACAAGTCTCCGTCTGGGTTAAAACACCATGGAGCTCTTCCAATGGTGAACGCCATCTTTTTTGGTGGTTTCCGTGATGGTCATCTGTACTGGCTTGCTGTTGACCCCCTGCAAAAAGTTTAACTTGTGTGGGTTTAGTGGAAAATCCCAACTTGATTTCCCAAAAAGGGGTTTAAGTCTAAAGATCCAACCCAATAGCAGTCAAGTGCAAAGGACCTTTTGATCAACCCCCACGTACCGAACCGATCGCCATTCGTGGGTCCATCGGTTTCTGGGGCGTCCGGCCGCTTGCAGCAGCTCCAGCGGCTCCAAGGCCTGCAACCCCAGCAAAACCGCAAAGGGAGGCGCGGGTCCAGGAAGAGGAATCCCAAGGCTTCCTCATTTTGTCCAGTGGTGATAGGTAACATGTCCAGTGGTGATAGGTAACATGTCCAGTGGTAATAGGCAACATGTCCAGTGGTGATACGTAACATGTCCAGTGGTGATAGGTAACATGTCCAGTGGTGATAGGTAACATGTCCAGTGGTAATAGGCAACATGTCCAGTGGTGATACGTAACATGTCCAGTGGTGATAGGTAACATGTCCAGTGGTGATAGGTAACATGTCCAGTGGTAATAGGCAACATGTCCAGTGGTGATACGTAACATGTCCAGTGGTGATAGGTAACATGTCCAGTGGTGATAGGTAACATGTCCAGTGGTAATAGGCAACATGTCCAGTGGTGATACGTAACATGTCCAGTGGTGATAGGTAACATGTCCAGTGGTGATAGGTAACATGTCCAGTGGTAATAGGCAACATGTCCAGTGGTGATACGTAACATGTCCAGTGGTGATAGGTAACATGTCCAGTGGTGATAGGTAACATGTCCAGTGGTAATAGGCAACATGTCCAGTGGTGATAGGTAACATGTCCAGTGGTGATAGGTAACATGTCCAGTGGTGATAGGTAACATGTCCAGAGGAGATGGGTAACATGTCCAGTGGTGATAGGAACATGTCCAGTGGTGATAGGTAACATGTCCAGTGTGTCCATGTGGTGATAGGTACATGTCCAGGTAACAGTGGTGATGTAACATGGTGATAGGACCAAGATGTTCAGTGGTGATAGGTAACATGTCCAGTGGTGATAGGTAACATGTCCAGTGGTGATAGGTAACATGTCCAGTGGTGATAGGTAACATGTCCAGTGGTGATAGGTAACATGTCCAGTGGTGATAGGTAACATGTCCAGTGGTGATAGGAAACATGTCCAGTGGTGATAGGCAACATGTCCAGTGCTGATAGGTAACATGTCCAGTGGTGATAGGCAACATGTCCAGTGGTGATAGGTAACATGTCCAGTGGTGATAGGTAACATGTCCAGTGGCGATAGGTGACATGTCCAGTGGTGATAGGTGGCATGTCCAGTGGTGATAGGCAACATGTCCAGTGGTGATAGGTAACATGTCCAGTGGTGATAGGTAACATGTCCAGCGGTGATAGGTAACATGTCCAGTGATGATAGGTAACATGCCCAGTGGTGATAGGTAACATGTCCAGTGGTGTTAGGCTCCCTTTCAAGCCAACAGCGGAAAATAAGAACATCTTCTTGAGCAAAGGGAAAAATGGTAGTAGTGCAGCAAGATGCCGAAAGGACTAGCTATGCGTCTGAAGACTAAACCAAATTGGTTCCAGGACACTGGAGGGTCGGAAAAGAGAGGGTTTGACCCAAAAGATCGTCAAGAAAACTACCACAACAGGGAACATGAGCTGCCAGCCATGGGGGGAGAGCCAGTTGGATGACTCAACTTCGGCTTGGCATGCGCTTTGAACATTTGAACCATGAAGTCCCGGCCGGCATGAGCTGAACAAGGAATTATTTTGCAATGAGGAAGCTCTGGCCCCGGGCTGGCAATCCCCAAGTGGCACAAAGGGCTTCCCGGCGCAGGCGGCATTGTGAAACAGCCGCAGCGGCGGCAGTGAAAGCAGCGCCCGAGAAAGAAGAAGCAAAACGCTTGCCAGCACTGCCAGTTGACCGCATCGAGATAAGGTTCGCCCAGCATTGCTCTGCCTAACCGAATAACCGCGGTGCATGCCATCTCTTTGTCAGCGACCGGTACGGCAGCTTCCTCTGTCGTGCAAACTTGCCAGCACAAACCGACTGAAACCCTGAATTGCAAACAATCCCCAATGCTTCTGTGCGCCATGCAAGGCTGTACTCGGTTGCTTTCTGCTCCCCTGCTAGAAGTTTAACTTTTAGTGGTTCAATGGAAAACCCATTAGTTGACAAAAAGTTAGAGTCCTAACATCCCAGCTGTGCCAGTCGAAGGAGGGCCTTATCTCTGGCTTCAAACACTTGCCACGCCCCCGACTTCACCAGCCTGAAGGGACTTGGCGAAGTCCTGGATGCAACGACCAATGCACAGCAGACCTATCTATTGACCCAAGGTAGACTTGATGACTTGCACCCGGGTTGATGTCCACAAAAACGGCACTGGGTTTAAGGTGTTCCTTGAGACCTGGGCAGGACCTTGCAAATGGGAGCAAGGATCGCAGAAACTGTGCCTGCTAGGAACTTGGGAAGTAGGTGGGTCCAATGCTTCCTGGCAAGGATAGCTTGCAACACAAACAAACTCCACGGCGGCTCCAGAGAGGGCTAAAGGGAAAGCCACCAATTTAGCAACCGATGGGTTCAGGAGTTCACCACCCAAAAAGTATGCAAACCAAAGTGTTGCCAACATCTAGACAATGCCACCAAACAACAAGCTGCGCAATTGCTAGGAGTCACACACCTGGTGAGTTTCCCCCCCGCCCCCTTCCCATCTTTCCCCACGACCCCCGGCGATGCTCCTCCCAGTACACACCCGGCGCCACCTCTGCCAACTTGGGCTCCATCCTCAGATGGGGAGTGATGCCGCACCGGCCCCGAAAGTGAACCGAAACCCAAGCCAACGCCCAGTGACCCCTGCCTCACCTGTTGCCTTGGACACTCGACTTGGACCGCATGCGTGCTCATGCGCGCTCGGGTAAACGGCGAGGCTTACTCAATCTTGCAGCTGAACACAAAAAATGGTAAGGTGTTGTCGCTCGTCAACTGGGTACAGAGCCAAGTACAATGACGGCAGTTGCTCACACTTGCGCTTTTCAGGCGGCATCCAGCATCCCTGACGCCATGAGCGCCGCGTGAACTGCATAGGCCGAACATGTCGTTGTGCGGCACAAGCGAGGACAATCGCACAGGCGCAACGGCAAAGCTACTGGCGCTGAGATAGTGCGTCTTCTCTCCTTCATTCCTGACAGCCATTTTTCAGCAGCTGAACACATTTAATTGCCCCAATGCCCGCCACAAGTGCCCACTGAGCATCTTTGGGCGCAGGCGGAGAAATTGATACAGCAGCGCAGGTGCCCACTCCTGCGAAGCGGCTGCACGGTTTGTTTTTTTCAGCTGGGGAAACAAAACCCCGAGGTCTGATCATGGGGCTAAGGGGCTGCAGGATTTCTTGGGAAGGTGTTCAGCATCTTGGTGAATGGCGGAACTCCTAAAGCCCGCACCGGATTCGCATCAGGTTTATTAAGACCCTTCCCCCAATCCCATGCTTAAAATGGTGATGCCTAAGCAGGCGGGAATAAGCAGGTGCCCTCCTTTTTGGATGGATAGGAACGGAAAACTGCGAACTATGCCAATAGGCGGTTGGCAAGCTTGCGAAAAGACACCACCCACGGGAAGTTCTGCAGCTCACTGCCTGAGTGGGTTGGCCAAAACAAGTCCGAACTTTCTGCTTATCGCAAGGGTCCAACGCCAAAAGGTAATCGAAGTCCATGAACTGAAGCCCAACCCGGCTTACCGTGACCACATCCCGCCTGGGAGTTGGAGTTCATCTTCCAGAGCAGTAGATCTGGAGCCTCCCGGGCCGTTTGCAGCTCCTTGACCGTCTCCACCTAAGCAGTGAGCTGGTTCCTGAAAGTGAAAATCTTCTTCTGGGGCTGGTGTCCAGGTTCTCTGCAAGCCGACAAATTGAAAGCTGGTGGTCACTTTGGACCCTGAGATCCGCACCCCAAAATGGAAACTGGTGGAAGCACATGTGACGGAGGTATTTTTGAGGCTGCTCTCTCGCCCCCACGCCCGCCTGATGCAATGCGGGCACCACATCGTGCCAGGGCAGCCCTTTGGGCAGAACTGCCGAGAGTGGTCGGCCTATGGCGGGGGGGGTGGGAGATGGGCGGGCGGGGGGTTGGGGGGTTGAGGGACTGCGGCCAAGTTGGACCCCTGTGCCAAGGGGCCTTTGAAGCTCCATGTGTTCAGTTCTCAGAAAAGGCCAGGCAACATCTCGGCGTTCGGCGTGCTGTTTCCTCATTTCGGGGGGTGTTTTTGCGTTTCCTCTCATCAGATCGAACTAGGTGTTGGACTCTGCCCGTCCCACACTCGGCAGAATGTGTGATTAAACCAAACAAGAGTCAACATTGCGGACCTGTGGGCGAGGTCAAACACCGTGCCTTGGCCACCCAGTCAGGTACCACAGGCTAGAGTCGAATCCGGCCGCGTTGAAGGGGCCCATGACCAAATAGTGCTATCCAACTACGTACATGGATTTGTCACAGAATGGAAATGAACCCTGGCATGGGTTCCCTTAAAAGCCACGGGGTTGATGGGTTCGTCCTTGTTTAACGAATCGACGCTGGCCCTGGAAGTGCATTTCGAAGCAAGACTGTTTCCAGCTACTGTATTCGCGGGAGCACTTTGGGCAAACCCTACACGCCCTCAGGCCGTATACCCAAACCTTCAGTGGTCATGGGAAAACACACCTCCCTTTTGGTTTAGTTGATTTCAACGGACCCCCCCCAAACGAGAAAAACAGCTCTACTTGGGTGTTCGGCCAAGCTGGCAAGTTGTTTGCAACCTAAGGTACGAGTCCCCCGTTCAGTGGAGTCAACCTTGTTAGTCGCGGGCTATAACCCGAGTGAGTGGCTAACCAAATATTAACTTTGCCGAACACCCAAGCAGAGGTTCGTGGATAGCCTATGCCAACCCCCATGTCCAACCCAGTATCACCAAACCAAATTCAGTCCTTCGCACATACCGAGCGGCGCAGCTGTGCTATGCACAGCAGCCGGGCCGTCTCACCGCGCGTCTGGCAGAGAGACGCCAGACTGAGGCATGTTTCCAGCTCACATTCAGACAATGTGAAGCCTTAATCCTGTGATTTGACAAATTCGCAAACCAGATGACATCAAGACGAGCTACGCCGCAAAGTGCAAATAACCATTGCCTGCCTGCCTGCCTGCCTGCCTGCCTGCCTGCCTGCCTGCCTGCCTGCCTGCCTGCCTGCCTGCCTGCCTGCCTTACAAGTGTTTTCCCAAGAATCCAGCTGCTTGATTCCTCCGCAGCCCTGCGACGGGCCCCTCCTTTTGGCTGAAGACAAAGTTGCAGTTGACCAATCATCGGGAATCCCTGGGGGGTAAACGGCTTTTAAAACAAAGGCCGTTACATCAACATCCTTTGTTTGAATAGCTGGGGGATGGGGGCCTGGGTGGAATTCCAACTTCACATCGTCAGCAACAAACCCTTTTCCACGCCAAGCTAGACTTGCGAAGGGCGTCAACGTTAAAGCAGCACATTTCTGCAGGCCGTCATGGTCTTCCCGAAACATCCAGTCAGCAGGACCTTTTTAAACCCAGCAGCAAACAACGCCAGCCAGGACGAATGTGAGTGGTTTTTCGCCTGCCAAATTTCACGGCGTTTCACGGTCTTTCTCTGCAAAAAAAGGGCGTTCACCCCAATTTCACGGTCTTTTCTCGCTTTTCCCTTGCGATTCCCCATTGCTAAGCCCATGATCAACGTCTCTAGAAGTTTCCAGGAAGAAGGCACCAAGGAAGAAAAGGAAGACACCAGGAGAAAGACACCTGAAGTAACGAAGAACAGAGAAGGGTGCCAAAGCTTTGGACGAGGGAAATGGTTCCATGTCAAACAAACCACTGCCATGAACCCACCAATTTGGAACAATCCATCTTGTTTTGACATGGCCTGCCTTGCGAACACTACTCATTTACGGGGTAGCCTTCTACTAGGATTAGAGATGCCCACTCTCATAGCGGTGGCAAAGAACAAGGACAAATGACCCAACTAGAAAAGGAAAACAACAACGTCCCAACAACAAACAACCAAAAAACAACACACAACAGGACAGGAGCGTGGGGTGTGGAGAGTGGGGGGTGGGCTTTCGACTGGCTTTCGGCTTTCGGGCGCGGGGGATCGCCTTGCTCATGAGGGAGTCCAGGAATCGCTTCCCATCCTCGGATGCTGCCTTGAGCTCCTTGGCAGAGCAGCTCCTAGGCTGACGGATGGTCAGGATGAGAGCAGTGAGAAATCAAAGATGTTGACCAATTCATCTAATGGGAAAGGCTAGGGCCTGCAATCCATGTGCCAACGCAACCATCCAAGGATCAAGGCCTGGACTCTGTATGGTACAATGTGCAATAGGGACCTCTAGCCTTGTACGGTAAAACAAAAACACCGTGCTGCGTGCGCTAGCATCAACATTCCAATTCCTACATAAACCACGCTTTGCTTTACGTACATATATTGGGACAAGGAATGGCCGCATGACAGCTAATTCCCTTTCCTTCTTCTCCACTCATCTCCGTTCACTTCCTTGTTCCCATCTCTCACACACAGCATATGAGTAGGTGAGAGATGGATGGGTCCAACCGTTTCATTCCCTTTGGTCAGCCCTTGGCTGGCGGTTGAACTCAGAGAGTGACACAGGACGAGCCAAGTGAGGATAGGAAGGGTTCATCCGCAATGCAATGACTGCGCGAAGGAATGGAGGACGACCTGCTATCTCTTAGTCCTTTCCGTAATAGCGGTTCAGCAGAATATGGACCAGTCTCATCCCCCCCACGCCCGACATGGGAAAGAACCAGATGTCCCCGGAAAGAAGCAGATCCCCCTCACACCACACCACCCCCGTTAAAAGATTAACAAAAAACGCCTCACATCTACGACGAACGACGAACTACTAATCCTACTACTTTTCATACTTTTCATACTTTTATTACTTTTACTACTTTTACTACTTTTACTACTGCTACTACTATTTCTTCTGCTACTACTACTACTATTACTATTTCTTCTGCTGCCACTACTGCTACTACTACTGCTACTACTACCACTACTACTACTACTACTACTACTACTACTACTACTACTACTACTACTAATACTACTACTACTACTGCCCAGGATTCCAAGGCCTCGTTTATTAGGCCTAGGCCTTGTTTTGTTCCAGATAGAGTCGGTGTGCATTTGCCTTGAAAAGTCGGGGCACACATTTTCACTTGAGGGCCTTGGCATGCTGTTGAACGTCTATGACATGCATGTGCGCATGTCTCAGCTGCAGAGTCTCGAGGGGTAGCCGCTATAGCGTCAAAAGCCAAGCAAATATCCTTAGCATTGTCATAGCCGCAACCTTCCTACCATCTTGCTTGAGACGCTCTTTTTGAAGCCCCCGATAACTTGAAGAACTGGAGCCAGGTTAGCAACACGCAGGGCAAACTTCGCCTGTGTCAGCAAGATGCTGTGCAACATTTTGTCCAGCAAAGGGACCCAGAACACCAACTCGGAAAGGCCTCAAACAGCTTGGGAAGGCCTCAAAAAAAGGCTTGGAAAGGCCTCAAAATGGCCTTGAAAGGCCTCAAAAAGATGTGGACGCCCAGCCAAAGAGCGAGGACTGCACTGAGAAACTCAGCAACACCGCCTGACGCTACTCCCAAAACCAACCTTTTGCTTGGGCCAACTGCAGCCTTCGTGCAAGAGCGCAACGCTTGTTCCACGAAAGATGCAGGGTCGCCGGAACTGCGCTGACACCTCCAAAGGAAAGCACGGAAGCCGTTTGAACTGCCTTCGAGCAAAGCAATGCGAGGTAAATATGTCAGATATTGAGAGCAAAAAGGACACGATGTAGCGATGTTGTGGGCAACGCGCCATACGCAGCCAATGTAACATCATGTTTTTCGGGCCAGGAATATGGGGCCAAAGGCCTTGAACAGGCGTGGATACTAACCACGGATACTTCCGGGCTTACAAAACAAGGCCTCTTGACGAATCGCGGCCTCCTGCAGAGGCCTCCTTTAGATAGGCCTGTTGAAGCGCAGGGTACTACTACTACGACGACTACTACTACTACTACTACTACTACTACTACTACTACTACTACTACTACTACTACCGCCCTAAACACACTTCAACACCGCCATCGTCAAAGCGCAGCATCGACAGCTACAAACGCCAGGGAAGCTGAGATTCCGCAGGACCGGTGCCATCTCGTCCCACCAAAGGCTTCGCTCATTGGCTACGGGCTCCAGGCTGGGCCGCAGCAGGGCAATCTTCCAACTGGGCGCCGGATTGGGGGGGGGGGGTAGGGTCGGTGAGTTTGAGGGATTCCGGGATCGTCAGGGGGGGGGAGGTTAATGGCAAAACATGCCATTCTGCATCATCAGCACCTTTCTCACACCAGGCTTGCAAGGATGTCACCAACTAGGGCCAATCAATTCTGCCCATCCCTCAAGTCTCATGAATCTTCAGGGGAATCCAAATCCATCTCCCGGTGAACTTGGCTCGAGCCGCGCATTTCCAAGAAAGGGCACGGACATCCTTGCTCAGGTATTAGAGTGGGCAAGGGCAAGGCATGAAAGTAGTTTGTTGCTTTACAGGAATTCCTTTTGTATCACTAAAGCACCGAGTAATAAGCTTTAGTTGTTTTGCTGGCTTTCGGGAGTTTCCCGTGGCATCACAACTGACCCCGCCCCATTTTCCATGAGTGGACTCACCTGACCCCAGGCGAGAAGCTCCATGCCCACGTCCTCCCTGCTGTCCAGCCCCTTCAAGAAGGCCTGACACACGCACGCTTTGGGTCTTGGGTTGGTCTGCCTCGCTTGGGCTGTGAGCCCCTGCATTCCCACCCACCCCCCAACCTGCCGGATGTGGCCCAAACATGTGAGGCAAGCAAGACCAAATGGGATCGAGGCGATATTTTGTTTTCGAACGCCCCTTAATGTCCACATGGGATTAGTAAACGGGGGTCCCCCCCCCTCAACGATGGGGGCACCTGGAATACTATCTTGAGATCCAGTTCAAATGAGTTTCCGTTTAATTTAGTATTGGTAGACTTGAGTTTCCATTTGATTTAGTATTTCTGGAGCTTCCTTTTGAGATTTGGAACTGAGTTTCTATTTGATTTTGTATTGCTGGAGCTTCCTTTTGAGATTTGGAACTGAGTGTCCATTTGATTTTGTTTTGGTAGACTTGAGCTTCCATTTGATGTAGTATTGCTGGAGCTTCCTTTTGAGATTTTGAACTGACTTTCCATTTGATTTAGTATTGGTAAATTTAGTATTGCTGGAGCTTCCTCTTGTTTTTTTTGGGCCAGGCAACAAGACTTTATTTTGGGGGCCCCTGAAATAATGTCAAGTTGGGGGCTAAAGTACTGCCCCCTTTGTGGGTGTGATTGTGGGCAGGTTTTCAACAAGAGACATGTAAGAAAACATGGGTGTGGTAAAGCTGACCATTTTGGATTTGAGGAGCAGGCCCAAATCTAGCAACACAGCATGAAGCATTGCCAGCCTCACCTAGGCTGTCTAATTTTTCGACTAGCTAAGAGGCAATTGCACTGGGCAGGTTGTATTTTTCAGGGGGCCAGGCAACAAGACCTTATTTCGGGGGCCCCTGAAATAATGTCAAGTTGGGGGCTGAAGTACTACCCCCTTTGTGGGATTGACATGGGTTTGGTAAAGCTGACAATTTTGGATTTGAGGAGCAGGCCCAAATCTAGCAACACAGCATGAAGCATTGCCAGCCTCACCTAGGCTGTCTAATTACTTGACTAGCTAAGAGGCAATTGCGCTGGGCAGGTTGTATTTTCCAGGGGGCCAGGCAACAAGACCTTATTTCGGGGGCCCCTGAAAAAATGTCAAGTTAGGGGGCTGAAGTACTACCCCCTTTGTGGGTTTGATTGTGGGCAGGTTTTTAACAAGAGACATGTAAGAAAACATGGGTTTGGTAAAGCTGACAATTTGGGATTTAAGGAACAAGGTACCAAAGATCCAAGGACCAGGTGTTGGCTCGGCTACTCTCCTTTCTCTCTTTCTTTCTTTTTTTTGGGGGGGGGATTTTTTTTTGCGCGGGTGGCGGGTGCATCTTTTTGGGCCCCCAAGTTGTCTTTATTTCGCAAGCATTTTTTAATCCTATGTGGACATTACGCCACGGGTTCATGACTGGTTGGTGCAATGCATGACTGAAGCTCCCACCCCAGCCCACCCAGCCCACCCCAGCCCACCCCAGCCCGCCCCACCCCAGCCCACCCCGCCCCGCCCCACTGCTTTAGTTTCGGTGCAGGTGTAGTCAGGTCGGCACCCTGAAGCCCCTCACCAGCCTCCGGATCATCTGCCGCCAGCTGCAATTCCTGGGTGATTCAACGTGGGTGTAACATAGGACTCGGACCGCCCAACATGGAGCTAGGTTTTCCTGTTGGCTTTCCTGTAGACCAACCCAGCAACCTCAAAACGGGTAGCCTCAGAAAAAGACGAGCCACCCAGAAGGGTGTGCAATTCTGGATTGGTGTTTGAACATCTTGGGCCAGTTGTCTCGCTTGCTCAGTGGCGATGGGACAACACCCTTGTTTGCTTGGTTCATCTTGAAGACCATGTCAAGAAAGAAAGAAGATTGAGAGGGGGCAACCAGGTTTAGGTTGCAGACGCAGAACTGGCCAGCCAGCCATATTGATGAATCACTTGCCTCCATTTGCTTACGTCCCCTGGACAAAAAAGTCCAGTAGTGACAGATTCCCTTTAAAACCATCAGGGGAAGTAAACAAACATTTCAAGCAAATGGACGCTTGCAGTAGCTGAACAAACTATATACATGATGAAAAGGATTTTCCGGGCAGCGATGGCTGCACGCTTCTCGTGGCTTGTTTTTGCTTGGAGCCAGGTGCAAAACGGACTGTCACGAAACCCAGCTCCCTAAAAACAAATCAGCTGGACATAGTATGGCGTGTCATAGCCAGCGCTATTTCAGTCTTTGGGTCTTGGGGGGTTTGAGTGCGCGATCCTCAAAGGAGATGGCTGCACGGCGCAGCGGGCTCGGCCGGAGTTTTTTTTTACCGGGCTCTGTGAGGAGAGTCCCTTCCGTAGGGCCGTAGGGGGTCCTTGGTGAACTTGAATAGTGCAAGTGGGCAGGGATGAATTGCCATCTGCGCGCAGTTGATATTTGAGTCATTGAGTCGTATAACTACTGTAAGGGTGCCCATGAAGGCAAGGGCAGAATAACATGACAAGGGCGTTCCGCGGTAAATCTAGGTGCATGGCTGTGAATTTGATTTAGGCCCCCTTTCTCTACATATATATATATGATTTAGGTGGGGATTTGCCAGTTTTCAGGGGCTTCCCATGGAAATTCATCCATTAAAGGCGCTGGGATTCTACTTCGTCGTTTTTTCGCCCGAGCCGGGACCCGTCCTCCAGAGAGTTGAGCTTCCGCAGGATTGGCCGGGCCTGTTCCCAGTGCACCTCCGGGAACAATCCGTGGCAAGCTGCGGTTAGGGACCCTTTTGGTTGGGGAAACCAAAAGGACAACTACGATTTCTTGCTTCTTGGTCACTATTTTGACACACACACCCATGTATTCTGCTCCAGGGTTTTCAGGATCCAACTCTGCGGCGTTTCGTTTAGGGGAGCCGCAGTGGAGCCCACTAGCCGGCCCTTGAATGGATCCCCGACGGGTGGGGGGTCGGAAAACTGTACCCATAAGTGGAACTCCAGGGGTCACCCCTTCCCCCAATTTCTTCAAGGCGGGGATGATAGGATAGGTAACCCCAAGCGAGTCTAGATCATGTCTGGGGAATCATGCCCCAGGAATTCCAGCGAGCATGCTGCTTCTGCTAAGTATATGTTCGAGCTCCTTGATATCTGCAAACTGCTGAGTTCCTGAAAGCAACACTTTTTAAGATTGTTCTGCTTCATTTGCTGCTCAGCGTCTAGGAGTTGAATGTGCATCCTGGCTCAAACAATGGTAGTGTCATCTATTTTTTCCTGAATGCCCAGTGGCCATGTGAAGAAAAGGGAAGTCATTCTTTGATTTGGTTCTTCATCGAAACTGGCGACCCGGTGGTGTTCCTTTGGCTTCAACCAACCCCACAAACTAGAGCCCCAACGGCCCAACCACACAAAAACTGAGCCAAGGCATCACGGGAGGGGCCACCAAGGTGCACGTCCTCAGAACTCGCAAGCTGAAAGACCCGCCTTCAGCTTCTTGAGCAGCGGCTCAAGGAACATGCGGATCCGCGCAAGCGCCATCTTCAACGCCTCGACTCGGTGGTTCGTTGGTGCCCCGCTCAAAGATTAACTTTTGTAGCGTAATACGTGCGGGGGCAATGTTATTATACATCCCACCAAACTCCAACACACACACACAAACACACAAACACCACACACACATACACACACACACACATCCAAGTATTTAATCCTTGACCCTGCTCTTTCCCATTCTGCCTTCCTTTCCCTTGCCTTCCTAGCATGCGATTTGGGGTTTCAACAGTGCTTTTCTAGACTCGGCCTCACTCTTCTCAGTAAGGCGCATTTGGTTCCCACGCTTTTTGGGGCAACCCAGGGCCCCCCAGCCAATGAACAACGTGGTACACATGTCACCATGTCCGAGGGCACTCACTTGGCCCAAGGTGCCAGGGGCCGCAGCCTGCTCTTCAGCTGGCTGGGCAGGTGCGGGCGCCGGTCCTGGCCAAAGGCCATCATCTCCTGGTCGTCCCTCAGGGCAACGGTAGCTCAAGGCGCTCTTTCGTTTGAGCAATGCGAGAGTTGAACAGGGCCCAAAAGCTGAAATATCAGACTGGCTGCCGCTGCGAGGTCGTTTGAACAATGATGATTTGCATGTCAGGGAGGAGCGAGTCTTTCCAAACAAAGGGAAACTGGAACCATCAAATGGACTTAATAGTTGGGCCAGGTCGGAGCGGGGATGCTAAAAAATGCTGCGCCATGTGGTTGCTCCAACAGCTACTGGTAGGGAACACGGCACGCAAACATCATTTCTGTAAAAGCAAGACAGTAAATACACAGGGCTGGCCTCCTACAACACAGAAAGGATCCCTTCGAGTCACCTCGGGTTGGGGCTGGTTTAGGCTTTGGTGTTAGGGTTTGCTTGGCGTTGCAGTGGATTTTCTTGATTTTTTCTCTGGTGTTGGCTTGGTGTGTCAGACTTGGAGGGACGGTTGCATGTGGTCAACGCGGCCTACAGGTGCTGCTCCGTGCTGGGCAGCCAACTGCTCTCTTGGCTTCATGCCAGGGACTGGGGTGTGGCATTGGGACAGCACCGTCAAACAACTGCAATCCTGTGGCCTGTAAACAGGCTAAATGCTCAGATGCCATGGGAAAAAAAGGGCATCCTCTGTTGGGTGGTTGAGTTTAAAAGGGAACCCTTCCCCAACAAATGAGAAAACAAAGCGCCACTGGGCAACTGGGAATGAGCATTTCAAAAGCAACACCATGACTAAATTAGTTTGGTTTTAGGCAAACTACCTTTTGCTGAATGGGCAAGCTGCCCTTGCAACAGCGCTGTGTAAATGTCATTCGCTGCGGGTTTGATGAGTCCTTTCTGGCAGTGATCCAAGCAAGCAAGCAAGCAAGCAAGCAAGCAAGCAAGCAAGCAAGCAAGCAAGCAAGCAAGCAAGCAAGCACACAGGAAAGCAGGCAGGCAAGCAAGCAGGCAGGCAGGCAGGCAGGCAGGCGGGCAAGCAAACCACAAAAAAGGAAACAAACAAACAAACAAACAAACAAAACAACACAATAAAACAACATACTAATAAACAAGCAACAGAAGAGCACCATAGCCCAAATCCAGCCACGCTTACCAACCCTTTCCTGACGTGCAGGCCTCATGATGGGAAGGACATGATGGACTGCTTCAGGGTTCTCACCCAACGCCGCCAGGACAATCTCGCATTTGGACCGCAGCCTGCGGGCCAAGCTAAAATCACATGCAAGATCAATGGATCAGCCACGTACGCTCCCGACAGGTTCGATGCTTGTAAGCTACGCATTCAACATGTCCGGTCAGCGGGTCCGAGCAACTCTGTGCAAGCGGCCAAACACTTGACAGCTTCCCTTTAAATGATGCTTTGGATTGGTGATGACTGGTGGTGTAGAGGATTGGGCAGCTTCCCATTAACCCACAAGAATGAGGGGTTCAAATCCGCACAATGCTCCAGTTCCGCTCGTAAACAAAAACATCAGGCTGACAGCCAAGGCGAATGCTGAACATTTCCCAAACAAGGGCCACAACCCCCTTAGCTGAAGGAGGAGGGGTCCCTCAATTCCATGTATCTAGCATTCCCCCCAAAAACGGGAAGATGGAACTCCAGGATTCAACCCCTCCCCCAAATTCCATTTGGAAGGGGCGCCAAGACCTGGTAAGTGTTGTTGATGCGTCTTCACAGAGCTTTCATGGGAGCCATGATTGAAACATATTGGCAACTCCCTGCTGGAGTTGCTGCGAACTGGTATCAAAGCTGGGACGCCGGAGTGGCTCAGTTGGGCCTAAGAGCTGGCCGCTGGCAAAAAAGTTCGCGTAAATGTTCTGGGCAGTGCTTGGCGGCTGCAGCTGCCTTTGGCCAGCAACCCCTACAAAAGCCAGCCATCTGAGAGGGATTGTGGAGCCAAGTTGGCCGCCTGGCGCTGGCATATTCTAGAGCTAAGCCGTTCTGAGAGACAGCAGCTTGCACCACCACTTCCTGAGCACGCGCCGGATCTGACACCTGAATATGGAAAATACCAATTGCCCAAGCCCCCCCCCCAAGCACGCTTTTGTCAAAGCCTGGTAAGACGCACTTAAAGGGGCCTCTTGATCGCCCACCTAGAAGAATAATCCGCCGACCCTCTGCCTCCCATCCTAGCCTCTCGCAGAGGGGACCGGAGTGAGATGCAACTGGATGAAGTAATTGCAATCGTGGTGATTTTTCTCCCTGCAGGACGCAGCCGAAAGCACAACAAGTTGACTCCCAGGACCGGTCCCAGGGACGGACCGGTCGCGGGACTGGGCCTGGGACCGGTCCTGGGAGTCAACCTGTAGCCTGCAACCGGACCTGGGCTCATAGTGGCTTCGGAATCCTTTCGCCGGGTCTGCGACCAGTTCCAGACCGGTACTACCAGTCCCAGCAGAGGTCCCAGGACCGGTCCCAGGAATAGTCCCAGGACTGGTCCCAGGAATAGTCCCAGGACTGGTTACAGGAGGTTCCAGGACTGCTCCTAGGACCGAGGTGGGTTACAACCATGGCTTGTACCATGCGATTCCCACTTGCTACCCATCCCGCTCCTTCAAGCAGCTTGTCACCCGAAATGGCTGACCACAAAGGGCTAGAATAATCTCGTTGGCCGTCACATGAAGCGACTTCCGAAAATCTGCACCTCGAGCGATCTATCCCTATCTCTCTTTACTTTTCCGGGAGGGGAACTACGCCTACCGACGCTTACAATCCCCTTCGCAAAAGCTCATCCCTCAGAAGATTTGGCCCCTAGACTACCCTGGCATGTGTTGACAAGCCCGGCAACGTATCAAAGTTTCTAATAAAGGGTGGCAAGGGTGCTTCCCATGAGGTCATGACATTGACATGTTGCGGGGCTTCTTTCTAGGCCGCCTGATGCTGGTGCACTAAAGCCCGTCATATCCACGACGGGGCTTACGCGCTGGGCGCGCCTCGTTCCAACCAAAGCCTGCCAGACCTGCGGGGCTCCTTACATCTCCTCAAAGAATCCTCTTTCGCTCACTTGCCCAACGGAGCTGGACACCTTTCGGGACCATGACGAAAAAGTAAACCGAAATAGGAACACCAAACGGTCGGAAGGTCGAATCCTCCCCCGCGCGGCGCGGCAAACAAAAAACCGCGGCCGTGCGGCGTCGTCGCGCATGGTCTCAGGCGCAAAGATCAGGACCAGGCCATCGTGGGACACCGCAGTGCTCACCAGCTCCTGAGTCCGAAACTTGCTGGCGCGATAGGCAGGGACACGGAATGAGAAATGGAATGACCCCAAAAAACACCGTCCAACTGGTGGCTTCCTCTAAGGGGATCCCTGGGTTCATTCCCACATTCCCCACTGAGCACCAGCAAGCAAATTGAGTCTTTTGAGCATCGGACTTGCTGGTGCGATGGGGAGGGAATTCCCGAATAAAGGAAACCATAGGATGGATGGTTTATAGGGGTCATCCCAACTCATTCCCTGCTGCGCACCACAAAGATCACCCCATTTAATTTAGAGGAAGCTCCCAGTGAATTTGGGAAAAGCGATGCTTGAAAGCAACAAAAGGGGGTAAATATAGGAAATGTAGGAAACTTTGAGCACGTGTGCACTCGCCACTCACGCCAAATCCACGATTTGATAACGGTGTAAGTCAACACTTGTGCAGTTGTCTGCTGTTGTTTTTTTGTTGACCGCTTACCATTGGTCATGGCCTTGAGGTTTAGCTTCGTTCAATCTAAACCGGGTGCTGAATAGGGGTCTGGCCATGTTTTGGTTAAAACAAATAAAAATCACGAGGACTTTGACTTTTGGTTTCTGGGCTGTTTAGATCTATTTAAACTACAGCAGCATGACCACTTTGCACCTGGCGTTGCGTAGTTGAACAAACCCAAAGCTAACGAAGCGTGACTGGCGGATAAGCCAATGGTCTTGCTACATCGTGGGCTATAGCCTTGTCCTGCCATTCCAATGGCAAAATTACCCTCCCACCAATTCACATGGAACCGTTCGACGTTTTGCGCAGTTCTGGTTTGGAGCGTTTTCCTTTTAAAGGGACCCCCGAACGTCAGGTTGCCTGTGAAACATGGTGGGAGGGTATGTTCAATTGTTTTAGCAAACTCTGGCCGACATGTACTTGTCGGCTCGTCGTTGGCCTGGTCGGACGCCTGAGTCCCAAACGCCCCTCTTAGTCACACAGCGCGCCCGAGGGATGTGCAGCGCATCTGTTGCTTTGGCGAGTTCGCGACGTCGGCGCCGCGAAAGTGCAAGAAAGGACATACCGTGGCTTCAAGAGTGCGTTTGCCGTCGCGAACACGGGAACGAAACAACACTTATGCCAGCCTTTCATGAGTGGACAGAAACGGCTTAACACCTCCGATTTCTGTCGCACTGGACGGACACACACACACACACTGCTTTGAAGGCTGCACAACAGAAGTTATAGCCAACTTTGCCCCACGCTGCCACTCCAAGCTGGGCCTCCATCTGCTTCCCAGGCCAGAGTTTCATGTTGTGATTACCCGCATCGACCCAATTGAACCAGGTGGTCCGCTTTGGGGGGACACCCAATGAGTCCCTTGCAACTAAACAATGGAACCATGCCCCTGGCAAAATTGAGCGTGAAAAATGCCCGACTCCTGATCGAAGATCTGCTCCTCCAACAAGTGCGCCAGAACCGGAGGATGTGTGCCTTGGCCAAAAGCCGTCACTCCCAACGGGCTGTTCATCAGTGAGCTTGCTTTGAGTTGCCCAAAGGCAAGGGGAAAGCAAAGAACTGTTGGTTGATCATGTTGAGCTGGACACACCGATCCTAGGATCCAACGAAGCAAACGTACAAACATCCACCAACATCCACAAACACTCTCAACCATCCACGCAACCGCAAACGCAAACATCGGCAAACATCCGCAAACACGCAGGCAAAAGCTTGTGGTCCCCACCTGCAGTGACAGTCTGAGAGAGACGAGGCCGATAGACAACCACGACATTCTGCGGGGTGGGGTAGAATAATAGTCCTCTAATAACTGGTGTTCTTTTGGCTTCCATTCGAAAAAAAAAAAAAAAAAAAAAAAAAAAAAAAAAAAAAAAAAAAAAAAAAAAAAAACGACAACGAAAGGGGTCTACCATTTTGAGAAACACTCCTGTTTCTCGACGCATCCTGGCACGTTTGCAATCACTACTTTTAAAAATTAAAGCGCTGCCTGCTGCCAGCTCGTGTCCGGGCGAGCGGTGTTTCGCTTGCCAGAAAAAAAAAACAGCCGGACAGCCCCGAGTAATCATGAAAGAATGCAAGCAACCAGCTACAGGTTCTATGGGAAATCCTGTTTTGTGATGGGTATTTGGCCGGTTCCCTGTAACCGTAGATGTTTCTATAGCTGCCTCTGTGAAAGTATGGTTGCAAACGTGTGCTGTTTCACAAGTCATCCTTTCAGACTCCAGCAAATGGCCCCCTTCAGCGTCACGAATGCATGATGAATCCTTCTAACGTGAAGTCTGTTCGCTCCTTCGACTTGGCTGCGGGAAAACAAGAAAAAGAAAACTGGATGAGACCAATCAAGACTACTGGGGCGGCAGCAGATCTTGAAAGCTCCGCGTGGCCTGCCTTGAAAGCACTCAGGTTCACCAGTGGGTAAGCCGACATTTGCACATCCGGCTCACTCAAGCTCCACAGGTTGAACCTTTGCGGGATGATTCAAAAGCAAACAAAGCCAACCTGAAACAAAGGGATGGTGACGCAAAAGTCAACACAACCAAACTGTTCACCGGTTTGGGCTCAAAACCCGTGAGCGTGCTCGCCAAGGCAAGGAGACCGAAAGCTGCCAAAACTCGCCGTGAAACCTCGGCACTAGCCCTGCCTGGTGAGACAGGGAAGGTGGTCGTTTTTGAACGCGTGATTTGGCTCGTTTTTGAACGCGTGTTTTGGATCGTTTTTGAACGCGGTTTTGCTCAAGTGTGTGTGATTTACAGCAACACGGCCATTTTTCCAAGTGTCCATGCACACGCGCGAACACGCACGAACACATGGATGGCGCCGAAGCTTGTAAAGCGCCGATGCCATGGCCTGCTGAAGCGACCAAGTGGCGCTTTGAAGAGACCGGCGGCATCTGCCGCTCGCCGCGGCGTGCTGAAGCGGCCCGCGGCACGGGCTGCCCAAGTACAGCTGACCGAGACCCATGAGGGAACTCCGCTCAGTCGCGACCAGTTCAAGAAGAGAGTGAGGGCATGGGCAAATGCCACGCGCGAGGTCCCGACCAGCATCAACATGCGGCAGAACGACTGGGGGCGGCCCGGCTACCACTACCGCCTTAGCTGCAGAAGCTGCGAGTGTTCGTGGAGTGGCCGCGCGAATTACGACAGGGGCTCGAACAAGCTGACTGTGACGGCGGACGTGATTGCCGAGCACAATGGCAAAGACAAGAAATGGGGCGGACAGGGTCTCTCCCAGCTGCAGAAAGATATGATCCGGGACTGGATGACTGCCAACGAGGAAGTGAGGATACAGCAGGTGATGCAGGCTTTGCACAAACAAGGGCAAAGGCCGGCAGAGGAGACAGTGATGTGCTACGTCAAGAATCTTCGCAGACGGGATGCTGATGTCTCGAAGAGCAGGACGAAAAATGCTGGGCCTTGGAACAAGGCGGACTTCCAGCTCCTCGCGCGCAGTATGAAGTCGGTGCAGGACAAGGCTCAGCATGACGAGAATGGCCTTCTGCTTGTTCGCGCGCACCTTGCAGATGAACACCTATGCGTGAGCTTCGTGAACCCTGTCTTGATGAAGAGTGTGTGGCGGCGGGTCAGCAACCGCTCCTGCTTGAAGGTCGGAGCGGATGGCGTTTACAAGCTCTGCAACCAGGAGTACACCCTCATATGCCTGGGCCTGCTTGTGAAGGAGTGCGGAGGCTGGGACTTCCGCGGGGCGCGATAGAAGACAGTGTCATCAGGAGAAACTTCACTGGGTGGACTCCCCCAATAACCTTTCGATTGATGACGTTCGCAAAGGGCAAGCAAAGAGAGGTGCTTTGCCCAGCTGCAGACGTAGCCTGTAGAGGGGTCGGAGTTTGGTGCTCGCGGACCCTGGCCTGGGAGTCAGCTCGCCCGCTCAGGCTGGCGAGAGGGGTTGGGGGTGTCCTGCCCCGCGAACCCCGGGCAAAGCAGGAGGGCGTTTTGGAGTCACAACTTGTTTCTGTCATGGGATGATAGCTTTGTTAGCAACTGACTCCCCCATAATTTGCGGATTGGGTGGTTTGCACAGGCTGGGACTACCATGGAGAGAGGCCGGATTCAGTCTTTCCGACCACGTACAAGGAGCTCATGTACGCACTCATGCGCTCGGAACACTCGACGTGCTACAGCCGTTGCTTTGCTGATCTGGACATTGCTGCCAAAGAGATCCTTTCCTTGGACCAGTTCTCCACACACGTGATGCAGTTCCATGGAGACTACCACGCTGGCCTAATGAGCGCAAAGGAGATGCACTACAGGCGGGGGGTAATGGAAAACATAACCATAAGGCACTGAGCGCAGCAGCCAGCGCAAGGTTTATGCGGATTACGGATTGTAGCTGCCCCCCCAATAACCTTTCGATTGATGACGTTCGCAAACCAGGGGCAAGCAAAGAGATGTGCTTTGCCCAGCTGCAGGCGTAGCCTGTAGAGGGGTCGGAGCGTGGTGCTCGCGGACCCTGGCCTGGGAGTCAGCTCGCCCGCTCAGGCTGGCGAGAGGGGTTGGGGGTTTCCTGCCCCGCGAACCCCGGGCAAAGCAGGAGGGTGAGTTGGAGTCACATTTTTATCATTGTGGGACGATAGCTTTGCTAGCAACCTACTCCCCAATAACTGTCGGTGTTGCCATCTACGGATTGGGGGGCTTGCAAACTAGGAGCGCTTATATGATAAGGACGCTATATACGCGGGTGTGTGTGCGTACATACATGGTTCAACATATTTCTAGATGTGCATGTGCAAGTGGATACGTACGTGCGCCGCACTTTTGATTCCATTTGCCCCCCCAAGCAGCTACCGCTACCTGATCCGGCGATGCGTCCAACTCATTTCAAGATGGCTCAGTTTGCAAGCAAGAGGGTGTGACGCTCCATATTTTCACCTGGAAATTTTCAGCAGCCAAGGTCCGCAGTTTACTGCGGGGATTTTGCGCATGCGATTGGCGCATGCAGGGCGTCGAAGCGCGACCGCGACAACGAGCAGAGGATGTGGAGAAAAGGGATGATGACGGTCCTCAGAGAGGCGCTGCTGGACAAGCGTCTTCTTGCGCATCTCGAGAACGTGGTCCACGCCACGCGGTTTCTGACCTGGCCTTTGTTCGACCTTGTTTGGGCTCAGTGCCTTGCAGCTCCTCACTTGTTACAAGCTGACCTTTTGGACTCTTGTTGTTTCCAATGTTAACCCTTGGCAGAGTGAGGGCTCTAAAGTTTTGACAAGTGATTTCCAAGTCTTCTGGGCAGTTCAGGTTCTGGATGACTGCGGAGAGCAAGCAGCCATGCAGAAGCTCACAACTCATTACCTGTTCCAGGACCCGGAGACCAGCAAGTGGAGGGCGCATTGGTGCGCAGCTTCGCTACAGCCTGGCTCTGCATGCGGCTCCCAGCCACAGGACACCTTTTTTTTGTTGTGCCAATTTTCATTCATTCTTCGCAGTGCTTTTGGGAGACAATCATCAACTGTAGACCCGGGAACACAAAGCACAAGGAACGCAAAGCGACATCATCATCATCATCATCATCACAATCATAATCTCCATTATCATCACCATCAACATCATCGTCGTCAACATAATCACCGTCATCAACATCACCATCATCAACATCACCATCATCATCATCGCCAATATCAACATCTTCATCATCAACATCAACATCAACATCGTCATCGTCAACATCATCACCAACATCACCATCATCAACATCAACATAACCATCATCAACATCACCATCGTCAACATCAACATGATCATCATCACCATCATCAACAAATCCACCATCGTCATGATCATCATCATCATGTCCAGCATCATCATCATCATCAGCAACATCAACATAGTTATTTTAATCATCATCATCACCATCATCATCATCACAATCATCATCTCCATTATCATCACCATCAACATCATCGTCGTCAACATAATCACCGTCATCAACATCATCATCATCAACATCACCATCATCATTATCGTCAATATCAACATCTTCATCATCAACATCAACATCGTCATCGTCAACAGCATCATCAACATCACCATCATCAACATCAACATAACCATCATCAAAATCACCATCGTCAACATCAACATGATCATCATCACCATCATCAACAAAACCACCATCGTGCTGATCATCATCATCATGACCAGCATCATCATCATCACCAACATCAACATAGTTATTTTAATCATCATCATCATCACCATCATCATCATCACAATCATCATCTCCATTATCATCACCATCAACATCATCGTCGTCAACATAATCACCGTCATCAACATCATCATCATCAACATCACCATCATCATCATCGTCAATATCAACATCTTCATCATCAACATCAACATCAACATCGTCATCGTCAACAGCATCATCAACATCACCATCATCAACCTCAACATAACCATCATCAACATCACCATCATCAACATCAACATAACCATCATCATCATCACCATCATCAACATCAA